TAACCATTCTACAATTATTCATGAAACATGTTAAGCCTTCCTGTTGCAAATGATGTGCTGCAGTGCAATCCTGTACACCCACATAGTATTGGCAATTATATGTTCATATCATAGGTTCATATGTAAAGCATTTGTCAAATAAAAAAAATAAACAGTACCAAAAAAGAAAAACATTACATTTTGTTTTATTAAATAGCTGATATTGTTTTAGGGGAGGGACCCACCTGGTTCTGGTTTAACCAATCAGTGAGCCGTTGAGGGAACAACTCACAGATGTTATCCAATCACAGCAGCTCAACTGAAGGTTATATGTCCAGTGTTTAACCTTTAGAAGTCATTATAGAGTTAATCAAAAGTTATAGTCATGCATTAAAAAGGTGTACTTCATTAAAAGTACAAATGCATTAAAATAAAACTGCTCATCGGCATAGAAACTAATTTCAGCATAATGCATTATACAGAATTATAATCCTTGTGCTAATCCCTCATTTTAATGACTTTATATACTGTTGGACAGCTTGTGATTTGCCCAATGATTAATCGTTTTATCTGTAATCTTTAGTATTAAATCATCTTGTCGTTGATTATAATGCATATTACTAATCTGAAATGGTAAGGTAACTATTAAATTAAAGTAGTGGAGTAGTGTAGAGTAATAGCAAATGTATACTTGAATGCTTTTGACTCACTCAGGATACAAATTCCCCCCACAAATAAAAACATCCCAAATGACAAATCATTCAGTTACGTCGTTTATTTCAAAATGGATGCAAAAATACAGAATTGAATATATTAGATATTTCTATACTCTAATTAAGAATCCATCCTTATGAACAGGTTCAATATGAATCCTAATGTCAGGGACAATGTTACCAACTGGAAGTGAATCAAAAAGAGAAACGTATATTCATCATGGAGTAGCTTTGATTAATTCATTGATCTTTTTATTTAATTGAATGCCTTCAGACATTTTAAAACAACTACAATTCTGATAGCAGTTGACACTTTTTAAACTCACTGTAAACTGAATATTTGGGGGTTTAAGATTGTTAATACAAACACCAAACTAATCCACGTAATAATCTGCAGAAAAATCTGGTATGTTCAGGTTCTTTATTTGTACCCGTAGGTAGATTTTGTTTGCAGAGAAAAAGACGAGGGATCCATCCTGACACTCTAAAAACAAACACACACCTCTAATAAAAGGACTAATACAAAGTACAATTACACTCTGCTCCGTCAAATCTCAATACATGTGTTGCAGCTCTAATACAGTTTTACATCAGAGGAGTTTCGAGAAGCCGAAACAAATTAATTGTTGCTAAAACAAAGTGATTCCTGTTATTTAACTATCACAATAATTGCAGAAGATTTTGTCAAGTAAACTCATCATGCAATACCCACTTTTTGCAGAGAATCTAACAATGTGTTAGCTTACCGAACACATGCAAAAAGGGAAGGATGTACCGGTCTTCACGCGCTGCAGGAGCTGGTTATTTTGCCGCATTGTGGAAGGCAGTAAGTTGCACAGTTGTATCTCCAGAAAAGGGGTTGAAATATCCCAAACCCCACAACAACACAACTTACTACCTCAACACAGCGCAGCTACAGACACACGCCAGCAGAAGAACACCAGCTCAATTAAACCAATGTCATCTTGGAGCAGTGCTGGTCAACCGATGGCAACAGAGGCTTCAGTCACCGTGGCAACTGAAAGCAAGATTCTGAGAGGCTGCCGACGGTCTCCATCGTGGAGGTGATGGTTTAGGTTGCCGTGAGAAAGAGAGTAGGCTGTATAGTTATCTCCCAGATCTGGTGTGATCCTAAAACTATACAAACTACTACCTCATCCCACAGCTCCCCCTTCTTATCTGGAGACAAAAATCATTCCAATATATTTACAGCAAAATAAATCTGTCCCCCGTTGTCTAGTAGTCATTTATTTCGATCCTTATTTTTCTAAAAGAATGCACATGGGAATGAATAATAAGCATGAGAGGGATAGTCGTGGATGCGGCAGCCACAAAACATATGTTAGCAGCTTAAAACAAATATCTATATTAATTTGAGTCTGAAACTGTAAGGTAAAGCAGTGGAAATATTATAATAAAACTCAGACGTGGAATGATATCCTTTATACATGCACTCATTAAAAGCCACCAGACTTCATTAACATACATTAACATGTTACCAAGCAGAATGTGCAGGGTTTGTCTACCAGTGCTCTGATTGGTTAGTTTGAGTAATTGTGTGATTTTGGTGAATCCGAACGTACCCCTTTGAACACCAAAGTCAAACAACAAACTCACTAATGAAGATAAAAGGTAGATTAGCGGATCCTGTGTTTCACAAAGTTAAATTACCTGTTCTGGTAATGGAGTCTGGTGGCCTCCAAGAAAGAGAAAGAATGCCTTTAATTGCCTGTGAGAAAGGGCTGTCTTCAAGTAAAGCAGTACAAATATTCGTTTTTTTTGTTGTTTTAATTGGATGACATGTTTTTTTCTAATGCCCCCACCCACAGCAGTACATTGCTCTGCTCTTTCTGGTTCTCCAAACTGGGGGCGTGCCGACCACCATACATCAACTATTGAGAAGTAATCATAAAACTTCTCCTTAAAATGATCAGAACTAGGCCTTTAAAAACCCAATTCTAATGTCTCTATTTCACTATACTAAGGCTATACAAAGCAGAACAAAACCACACGTTTCACACTATAATTAGTCTTCTATTACGTATTTAGACTTTGTATTGAAATATGCAGTGAACTACACATTATGTATTCCTCGTCTTAACCATTATACAAGTTAACCTCTTTTACAGATTAACAGCTTTCACATTTGTCCCTTCCCTTCATGTATTTAACATTCCTACTCACCTCAATTCACACTGGCTCTATTATTCCAAACCATAAAATACACATTTTGCTTTTTACATTATCCGTGCAGTTTCTTGCCAATTTCTGTTAAAAGATATCTGACAAGGAGGACAGCAGTGAAAGATTAAAGATTTTAGAGAACAGAAAAGGAGACCAATCCTTCAGAAAAATGTTAAGCCTACTTCTCAAGACGCTTCCTCTCCTTGAGAAGGGTCTCCAGTGGCAGACCTAGGGGACAAAAACAACATAAAACATGCTATAAAAAGGTGCAGGACATGACGAGCTGGCCTCACCACCAACGCACATCCAGCCGCAATCAATGAGCCGCCGCTAACACGGTCTGCTGGTAGCTAGTACCCTCAATCAGGTGAGGCTAACAGGCTAAACCTGGACACCTTCATAGCCTTACAAGCTCTTTAGCTGCTTAGCAAATAAACATGTATTAACATTAACAATACATATATTAAATTAGTAAGAATTAAAACCCTGTTGCAGAGTGGTTAGTTTAGCTTTTAAATGCAGCAGAAGCCCAGGAAGTCAGCTAGCCCGCTAAGCTAGCCCAACAGTGTTAACTAGCTGACAGCTAACAGGAATTGGCGGTTCTCGAGCTCCCGGTCCTCCCGGTCCTCCCGCCCCGCTGTCACATCCTCCGGTCCCGCTTCCTCCTGCTGCTGCTGCCGGGGTTCCTGTGCTGGTTCGTCTGGATCAGCACCAGTTATCGATGTGAGGCTCGCAGCGGACGTTACTCGTACACGGTACCGACATTTCTGAGCAGAAGTATCGCAGCGAAATGTTTCGATGCCTCGCTTCACCACGCCAACAATCACGTGACCAACCCCTGAAAACGAGGCCTAGTGACGTCACGATTGTGTCAGAGAGATTTTTTTTTTTTTGTATTCAATAAAATAAAAATGATGCAATAAAAATAACAGGGGTTTAAAATAATAATAATAATGATAGTTAGAATAATAGGGATTGTATACAACTTTATATAGGACTTTATTTAGAATGAAGAAATATATATATTTTAATATATTTATTTTTTAAAACTAAATACAGATAGAAACTAAATTAATATAGATATAAAATAGAACTAAAACAACTATAGAACCGAAGGATACACAAATTAAGTCAATTTTAATATAAATATTATTATTCATATATTATTATTTAAAATGTTAGGCATAGATAATAATTGTATTCAATATAATAATAATAATAGAGTGTATACACTATATATAGAAACATAAATAAAGTACATTTTAATTAAAAAAAGGGTTGGGGTTAAAACACTAGGAATAGAGAAGTAACAAAAATAATATATTGTAAGGAGCAAAGACTAAAAAAACAAGGATATAGAACAAAGCACATTTTTTAAATGGAAAGTACGGTACTTGAGTAAATATAGTTGTAACCTTCCACCAATGACATTTAGTAATATTTTTGAATGAAGGACTTTGACTTGTTCTGTAGTATTATGTGTGGTAGTGATACTTTAAGTGCGGTAAAGGACATGACTTCTTCCATCACTATTTTTAAAGATATTCATAAAATTCACAATTATCAAATCAGTTTACACGCAATTAAAATGATTGCTATAGTTATGGAATAAAAGAAATGCAGCAATCATACTGAAGTCCAATGTTTTCAAGCTTTCATAAACAAAGCTTAAAAGGTAGGGTAGGTAAGAATGGAGAAACCAGCTCGAGTGCGCTAGAATTTGAAAATACTCAACAGAAAAAAATCTGCCCCTTCTTTCAGACTTCCTTACAGAGCCCCTCCTCCAACACACACGAACCATAGACACGAACGCACACATGACCAATGAGGGCACGAGATAAGTTTGTGCACAGATAGAAGGCTGACAGGCAGGTAGGCCATCCAGTTATTTTAGCCGGGCCGGCTCAGATGATTGGTCGTGCTTTTTACAGCGCCACGGCTTTCACAGATGACATTTTGTATGTATTTGTTGTCAAATCATTGAATATATTCATTGCTATCGGGACGTTAAGAGCATTCCATGGAATATAACACAAAGTGTTTCTGAAGTGAATTACCTACCCCATCTTTAAGTACCTGCACATTTAAACATATTTCATACAAAAAGACACTAGACTCCAGAAATACTTTTTTTACTAAAAGAATAAATTTTATTTCAGCACTGTAAGTCATTTCCCAACCAGTACAAACATGACTGCCATCTTTGTCTCTTTCTGAACCTTTCTTCCCCTCCCTCTGTGAGATCAGACCACCAACAGCCAGACAAAATAAAAAAAAAGCTTTCTTTTTTCTCATCTTTCCACAAACAGTCCGGTGCTTCCATAATGCTAACAATGATGACAAATTATACCGACCATAATTATAACAGCAATAATGATGATAATATTTCTAGAACAATAATATTATGGATAAATGTAACCCTTTTCGTTGCACATGTAGTTTTGGGTGGATACTGTAGTACATGCATTGGTACATTTGTGGCTAAGGGCCCAATCGTGACAAAACAAAAAATAGCCAATAATGATCAGCTTGGGACTCCATTGGAGGGGGGGGGGCGGGGTTATACTGGAGCTTGGGGGCTGTTGAGGGAGGGTTTGGCAGTGTAGAGAGAGACAGACATATAGGGACCTTTATTCAATCAGGACAAAATGCTGTGAGAACCCTGCAAATAGATCAGAACAGGTACAACACAGCCGATGACCCCTTTCCACATTCTGTATGACAGACAATAACACTGTTTGACTTCTACAATACAACATAGCACACTTATATTCTTCTGGGACTTTTGGTTCTCTTCAACATTGTCGAGCTCCTCAAGAGGCGCTCCCATTTGTGTCGGCTGTGAGGCAAGATGCCTTTAGTATCCGCTGGACAACTCTTATCAGTCAGAGAGGGTGAATTTTCCTCATGACACTTCGGCTGAGAGCAGGAAATTGATCAGAAATGCATTGAATTGATTGTTTCTGATGTCATGTTCTCAATTAACTCATTCATAGTTGAATGAATAACATTAAAAAAAAAAAAAAAAAAAAAAAAGTTTCACAATTTCCATGCAAAAAGTCATGAACAAATCCACGTGGCAACTAAGAAATACTTTCAATTAATATGCCCTTCCTTTGTTGCTTTTGTCTTAATGTTAGAATAAATAAATAAAAGGCCTGTTAAGAAAATGCTTGGAATTTTTGCTCCAACATTTGATCTAAATGAACAAAATGGTGGTATATAGTTGCAGATTTGTTCATAGATTAACCTCTAATCTATGAATTAACTTCACCAAGGAAATGTTTTCAGATTAGTTTCTTTGTACACAGGTTTACAAAAATTAATAATGATCCTGAAACTTGGTGAAAGGGTGTAGTATGGGTCTTAGAATACGATTGTGGATCTTAACAATCATAAATGATTTCTTAGTTGCACTTCACATTTCATGCCATGTATTTAGATGCTAAATAATCTCAGATTTGTGTTTTGAGGAAAATCCAGCCACATTCAGAATATCCATGCCCACGTGTGAAGAGACTCAGATCAGCAAAAAGTTGCCCTTTCAATCCGAGTCTGGGCAGTTAAAGGCAAGTTTGAGAGAGCACAACAATAACATGTGAGAAATGCTAAAGTGGGCGCCAAAACCCCAGCGTGACTGAAAGCATATCTGCCAGATGTTGTTCCTTTTTTCGTGTATTAGTGTTGATCTGAGCGTGTGCAAGCAGCCTGAATGAACACAGCCTGAATTCAGTCAATGAAGAAGTTACAAAAAGGCGTGAGCGAGCAACAGGAGGGGTGATTTGACCCACAATGCCTAAAACCTGCCCACTCGCTCACTCACTGTCGAACAAAAACTTCCTTCCTTTCCCTGTCTGTCTGCGTCTCCACGAAAACCACGGTGTTTAAAAAACACCGTTACCTCACAGACTTGTCAGATAAATCACACGTGCTGTAATGTCATTATATAAATCATACTCATCGGAAAACTTGTTACTCGGGGGTAAACCGTCGATGCCGGGGAGCGTGAGGGGCTATGGGGGGATTTATATGGAGTAGAGGGGATGCTAGGTGTACTTTGGTTCTCAGGTGTTTACAAGAGATGTTACGCTGCTTTGTGCAAGTTCAGCTTAGATTGATAATGAGTCGACCACGAAATAGTTTTCAGGGATATTATGAGGATCATAACATAGTGCAGACGACAATTTTAATTTCGAAAACGGGCAATATTTACTTACGTACATAATAAACGGTGGTCTAAAGATGCCATATAAAATACAGGTAAGGAAAATCGCAATCATTACAGTTCAAATCTCTAGGTTGGCTAAGCGTATTTCAGTACTAACTGAAGCAATGGTAGAAGGATTAGATTAGAAGATGTAATAACATTAAAAATAGTAAGAAAAAACACATTTGCACAATTGAATAAAACCGTTTTGATTTTTTTTTTCAGATTTTTTTTTCCAGACTCTGGCTAGATACATACAGAAACTGATTATCAACGTTAATATAACCTTTACTGTTAGTTGGGTTGATTAAGGGGCGGGGCAGCCCAAAGAGAAAAAACAGCCAATAGAAACGGTCCTAAAAGGGGCTAAAAGGAGAGGCAGAGAGGGAGGCGATAAGAGTGAAAGAGAGAACTGAAGAACCGGACAGGAGGGGTAACCTGTGTGGAAAATGGGTGTGTTGGTTTTGTGTTACTGCAGATTTAAATCAGTGGCCATGTTGTGTGTGTGTGTGTGTGTGTGTGTGTGTGTATGCATGTAGACTACAAGGAAGATTAGGGGGCATTAAAGAGAAGTGAATGAACCTTTTATGGGGGAGTAGGAGGAGGGGGCGAGAAAAAGTGTAATAGCAGGGGGGGGCGGGGGGTTAGGATAACAAGCATAAAAATCACTGATCAAATATCTATCGAACTAAAACAGACAAGGACGAGAGGGACACTACATCATGTATTGTGTTGACTTTATTTTATCCATACTAGCTACTGTGTAACTCAGGGTTTAACATCTATGTATGTGTGTGTTGTGTGGTAATATGTGTGCTTGTGTGTGTAAGTGTGTGTATATATGGTTGTGTTTGTCATGGCATGTATTTTTAAATCCGTCCATGCAAACTTGAAAATGTGGGATATTTTTTTTTTTATAAGACTCAGTAGAATGTGTTACCAAAAAATGCTCTCTGATGAACTGAAGAGCACTCCACTGGGAACTGAAACTGCACAAAATCACTTCAGCACAAAAGCAGAGAGAATGCCGCTGGTAACAAATGCAACTGAATACCTGTATGTGTGTGTTTTGTTTAAATGTATATGTGTGTGTGGCGTTTCTGGTATCTGGCGAGCGAATCGAGAGGGCATCGTATACCAGATCACGCTCTGGCTCGCCGCAGAAAAGCCATCTTCTAACAATGTACTGTTGCGATACACATATTTGTACTAATGTCAAAAGTTGAAAAGCAGTTAAGTATATGACTCCTAGTAATTCTAGACTTAGTATTTTTCGGCCAGTGGAGCTATATTCTCTAGCCTAGTCTTGGTGTCTGTGTTATTACAGTCCTGTGTTCAGCCTGACGCCGTTACCTACTCTTAACCTATGAACACCTACAGCACTCGAACTCTTAATCCCTACCAATAAACGGCTAGCGGGTCCGAAACCTTGGATTGCATTTGGTGTTGGTGTAAGAGACGGCGGCGCGGCCCAGCCTTGTGATGGCGAGCGTAGGCCTACGACTCGCGGCTGGGTCAACGGTCATGGTTGAGTTCATAAACTGAGGGGATGTCTGACGCGACTACATTAACACTTACAGATATAGTCAGGGTTTTTTCCTTCAAAACGGCATTTCGTAAGAGCTTCTTTTCCATGTCAATTGTGTGGCACACGATAGAGCACAAGTCATCAACATAGTAAGAAAATAAGGTGCTTCTTTGTTGACTTGCCTTTTTTTAACATAGTGAGCTCATTTCAACCTCTCCAAGTACGTTTATAGAGAGTTACAATGATCATGGCCAGCATCTCTCAGGCAGTATCTGTCGGTGTACTGCTTTTTACATTTTGCAGTTGTGCTACCGGCTATTGGTAAATTGTATTTCCGTAGTCAGATGAAATCTACTATGGGGGACACATCTCATTCTCTACAAACATAAGTGCTCTAATAAAACAATTCAATATCTTAGAAGTCTCAGATTGTTGAGCGGCCCTCTGGGGGTCCGCCATGAGGCCTCCCTCTCTCCCGTCATGTGATCCGACCCATAAAGCCTCGCCGTGTTTTCAGGCCGAGGTGCTTCAGGGCAGGGAAGTGCTTTCTGCTGGTCTAAAGTGACACACCAGAGCGCTGCGGCTCATGGTGTTGGGCTATCGTAATGACAACCGTAACTCAATCACCACCTGAGTGGGTGGGGGGGGGGGCTCTTTGAGGATTTGTCACTCGCCACACCCCTTTTATATCACTGGCTGCCTCAGTAGGCTGGCCTTTCTTAAAATACACTTTGGAAATAACTTTTTTTTTAGAAATCTGAAAAGATTCCTAAGGACCCTCGACGCGGAACATCAGGAGTCCTTTTTCAGCTTAATTGCAAAGTTTTATGTCTGAACGTGCGAGGCCAGTCTGCGGGGAACTCCGCCTGGCAGCAGTTACCCAAACCCTCACCGTTCATATCCATCTTTTGTCTGGCAGCATTATTCTTTTATTTTTTGGCCTTAAACTCCAGAACGTGCCTCAGAGTTTTATCATTTCTTTCTCACCTGGTAGAAGACTATCCAGTGTGGTTTAAACTTCTTTTTTTCCAAACAAAGTGCCTCTTTGTCTGAAACCACTCAGTTCACATTCTGATGTCTCTCAAATACATCTCTACCTTTATATGTAGTTCTACAAGTCATAATGATTTACTTAGGGGCGGGGTACACCCCTCTCAGACGGTCAATTAACCGGTATAGGGGTTTGTTCAAATGTATCATATTTAAATACAACATTAAGTGCTTCCGTTTGGGTAATACAATCAAAGCTTTGGGAGTAAAGGACAAGGGGCATGGGAGGATAATATTATAATGCACTTTTTTTTTGGAGGAGCGGGGTTATATCTTTTATACTTTAGGGCTTAAGGTGCATAAATGCGGGGGGGCTCAAAGCACAGCTAAGCACTGGGCTATGCTACATTGGTCAAAGTAAGATATCACGCCAATACCATGGTGGTGCAGAAGTGCTCCTGTGATAGATAACCAATCAATCAATAAAAGGGGTTATTTGCTAGTAAGTATACCAACGTTGTGAGTACGGGGGGGGCGGGGGGTCACTGCACAGAAGAATGGTACTATCACTTTGTTAAAATCTTACTCACATACCTAGAATTCATGTAAGATAAATCTCACATGAGACGGCTATGGCAACAAACCAACCATCAAACACGCCAACACTGACCATGGCGCCCAGGCCTAGATGCTGTAACCATGGAAACCACATCCAATCTGTCACCCTAAACCGCATGCTTAACATCTGTGTGCAGAGATTCAAACAATGGGACCATTAAAAACACAAAATAAGACATTTTAACTGTACAGATACCCATACTTTAAGGGAGAGGGGGTGGCTTTTTTTAAGTGCTTGGTTGTAATGGGGGTGGGCTTAAGCTTATTTTACTCTTGAGTGCAGGAGGGAGGCATTTAGGATTTTTGAGGGGCGGGGCGCTTACAGACTCATGGAGAAAACCTCTCTTTGTAAAACAATGTAAAACCACATGAAAAACTTAACAGGAAGTAACAGCTAACTGCCGCTGAGCGTCACATGGAGCAGGGGGGGGGTGGGGGCGAGGGGGGGGCCTCGCTGCACCTCCTGCTCCATGTGACGCTGCACAGCTAGCAGGGCAGGGCTACAAAAACAGGGGAAGGCAGTCAAACACAGAACTCTCTCAGAGCAATGCATCCTGGGAGAGGACGCTGTCACTCCTCCTTCTGTAGCGCTCCGTCTGACGGGCAGTCGTCAAGGCAAAAGGGGGCCTCCACTTCCACCCCATCTGATTGGTTGTCTCTGGCTAAGGCACATGGGATTGGCTGGGCCAGGGGGGCCAGCTCCAGGGGGGGGCCGATGGCTGCAGCGCTGCCATTCAGCTGCTGAGGCGCAGCCTCTGGAGAGCCGGCCGCCTCCTCGGAGGGCTTTGGGGGGCTGCTGGAGGGGGGGGGGAGGCGACGTCTGCAGGGCGATAGGCAGACAGAATATTAACAGAGGAGCAGCAGGACAGATGCAACGTGATAAAGAGGGACATTATAGCTGTGATTGATATTCAGGTAGGGAAAAGTACAATAAGAGGTGGGGTTGTATGAGGTCAAGAAATGATGGTGATGAATGAATTGTCAATAAATACGGTAGATCTACTGTTTTATTTGGACTGTGGCAGCAGCTAAATATAATTTAGATGTTGAAAAAGTCTATATTTTCACCACTGTACCTTGTTGTAAGACATCTTAATCTGACAGGGAAGTAAAACTGTTATCTATTCACTCTTCAAAGCCGGTAGACTCCTTTGTCAAAATCTATTATTTAGGACACCGGAGTTGCCAGTCTACCGCTGCCTTGATCAGTTAGTTTGCTTGTTGCATCCAAACTTAAACGTGCGAAAGTCACACGATAACACAAACTATGAGACTAGTCGCAGCAGCGGTAAACCAGCATCTCCTGAATTCTGCACAGAAACATTACTGTTTCTATCAAAGGACTCCCGTGGCAGAGGCCTGCATAGGGGCAACATAAGCTGAGAAAACAGTCTGTACTATATAGCAATACATTGCTTAGCTTATATACTATTATACACCGACAATGAATACTTTACTCGTACAACAGCACTTCAAAAAATCTCAACTATCGGTCTAAAGATCTTAAAGAGAGAGAGAGTAAAAGTGTAGTGGTTCTTACCTGTGATCTGTTGGTAGGCGTCTTTTTCACCACCCTTGGTTTAGCTGGAATCTCTTTACCTCTCCTGTGATCAAGAAACAGAACGAGGAGTATAACTAGTCTGATTTAGGGTTTAATCTCACCAGCGTTAAATTGCTCATTGTCGCCATCAGTAATTAACAGCCCATATTAATGTAATCACTATAACTCAGTCTTTTATGTACGAACTTTGAATCCAGTCATAATGACGGCATACAGAGCAGGGCTCGCAATTAACGATGTCCCGATGTCCCGGGGACCATAACAATTCCTACTGGGACACAAATCTATCTTGTCTGGGACTATTTCGGGACAGTGAAACAAAAATTCAAAGTAAACTTCAAAATGGGTGTTATTTGCAAAGTCATTGGGCGTCAAATCATAGAATGCATTCTACGTCATCCACTCTGCTGCTGACTGCTGCTAGACTCGCGCCAAGGCAACGGTCACGACAGTTAAAAGAAGTAGAAAGAAATGCTGAGGTGGTTGAATAAACAGCCCCCTGATGCAAGCCCCAATTCTGCCGACTCCCGAAACGAAAACATCCCAAGTCCTGGTCATGGTCATGATGCAGCGTCTTCCACTGTGGTAAGTTAGTTGTCTTAAGTGTCAATGTTAGCTAGCGCTAACTAACGCTAACAACTGAAGTGTGCCTTACAATGCATACAAACGTCCTAAAATGCGGTGTCATGTTCTTTTGAAGTTTGTGAAAATGATGTGAAATACAGTTGATCAGAATAAGAGGTGTAGCCGATCATTTTTGTATTTTCTTTGTCAGCCAGTCAGTGACCAGGCTAGAATCTTTAGCTGCAAAAACGTAAGGCATTTAATCATTTAGCTTTTCATATGTTTTTAGTGTTTTAGTGTTTTTGGGTCAAGAACGTCAGTCAGATTGGGAGACGATTAGAAAGGGGGTCGCAAGGTAATTTTAGTTTGTCAATCAACTCTGGTATGAGAATAATGTGTCATGTTAAGAGAGAGTAATGTTCCAGTTGTTTTTGTGCCTAGGGGGGGGGGGGGGGGGGTGGGTGAATGAGTGAAGATCGAAGATCAATTTATATTCCTATAGTACTACTGACTTGTGAGGATAACTTGTAATTAGAACTGAAAACAGATACATTTATTAAACTGTATTATGGAACTTCTGTTTTTTTATTATCATTCATTCCACTTTTATTGCCAGATGGAGGGTTCCGATCATAAAACAGAGAGACCATACAGCCATACCATATCGAATTGAAAAATACAAGTCAGAATTCTTCAATGTTGACATGACAATGATAAATTAGTCTGGATATTGAGAAACAATAGAAAAACATGTCTTAAAACAACTCTCTTCCCTTCTACTCTAGGAGAGGCAACAGATCAGACTAATATTCATATGTTTAAAAGAACAAGTATTTTAAACTTACATGGTGGACAAAACTATGGTGTGATGATTAAGTGACAAAAAAGTATCAAATGATATGTATTCTGCATAATTGGGGGGGCGACGATACAAATTTAAATTTGGGACACTGCTGGTTATATCCGGGACAATACAAAGTAGAATTCGGGACAGTTGTGGGACACTGAGGAAAAGAGTTAATTTCGAGCCCTGATACAGAGTATAAAAGTGTTTATAAAAGGAATATGCTTGTGGCCGACTGATCTACCGAGATTATAAGAACAGAGAAAATCCAGCTCTACAATAACTTGTCAGTTGTTAGGTGTATGAAGGATCCTCATGTTACTCACCCTCTCCCTGCTCCCACTGACACCACCTGCATGTTGAAGCCCCCTCTCCCACGGACTGGTTTGTTCCCGGCCCACTGGCCGACGACCATGCCAGCGATCTCCAGTTTCCCTCCCTGGGGGGGGATTGACTGAAGGCCTGAAGAAAGAAGAAAAGTGACTACTGATACTTTTCTTATTGTAGGGAATTAAATAAGAAACTATAGCGTTGTCAACATTCTATAAAACATGTATACATGACCTACTAACTAATACTCGATAGTACTGTATGTTGTTTTGCAGTAAGCAGTGTTTCCCACAGAATTTGATTCTATTTGTGGGGGCACCGCAAGAAAATACATGCGAGTTCATGGCTACTGTAGACAACGTTCGTGTTGCTGTGTTGCGTTGTTAATGAGTGAGACACACCGGAGTTGAGGATCTGTGGGGTTATTCTCCCAAAAATATAATTTACAAATTAGGCATTTAGCAGACGCCTCATTCCAAAGCGACTTAGTGACCAATTACAGGGACATGGAGTAACTGAGGGCTAAGTGCCTTACTCAAGGGCACACTAGTAGTGGTGTTCCAGGCGGGATTTGAACTCGCAACCTTCCGATCATCAGCCCACCTCACTATCCATTAGACCACCAACATTTTTTTTTTTTTTAAATAATATATTTTTTTTATGAGATCCATTTGTGGCGACGATATTTAATTGTGGCGGGAATATGTAAGGCTTTATATTAACATGTCGTTTTATAATACACGTGCTCCAGCTGTAACGAGTTTTCAGCTTTCATCCTCTTCCTTTATGCATTGCATTGAAGTAGAGCCATCAATAGCACGCTTTTCAATGTTCTCACTTTTGCATTCTTAAAAAGCTGCTAAGAACTGGTTTCTAGTACTACATTTGGTTCAAAATCAAGATCATTATAAATCTATGAAAAGGACAAAGTATGTAAAAAAAAAAAAAAGGAGGCATCTGTGTACCTGGGAAGGCTCTTGGTCTGTGCTGGGCGGGGTAGTGAGGATGGTGTGGGTGATGATGATGAGGCATGCCCATGGGGCGAGGTGGGTAGAGGGGAGGCATGGGGTAGAAAGGGGGCACCATGGAAGCAGGGAGGAAGGGAGGAGGTGGAAGAGGAGGGGGAGGAGGAGGAGGGCGGGACAGGTTGATGCCCTCGAGGATTGCCTGACGCATCTTCTCCACCTTGGACACCAGCTCCTCCTGCAGAGCACAGACACATGTGAGAAGTTATTGCTGTTAACGCACCACAAAGCTGAAGTGGAAATGTCTGTTCCCCAGACAGCCGGTAGCAGAGTGTCATTTGATTCTTCATATTAACATGTTCCCTGTGAGAAGCATTTAGCAAGTGAAGGACGTTCACAGTAACCGACAGCAGTCACATTCTTCCAGTTAAACATTTATTAAGTTCATCAATAATGTAAGATTATTAACGTTTTAGTTTTGAATCAGTACATTCAGTGTTTGGACCAAGTTACTCCTGAAAAATAAGGATGCCTAAATTGAAACGGCTTCAGCTGATTTGACAATATGCAAGATATTCATGTTTTAAATGTTAGTATCAAATTGGACTGGGAACCGGCCACTACACAAAGTCATTCAAATGCTTTATGAACTACATTTCTGTATTTAATGTACTTACTTTGGACTTGCACATAGAAATGTATATATATATATATATTTATTTGTATTAGTCTTCACTCACATATGTATATATGTAATCTTAACTTCTACGTGCTTTATCAGGGTCTAAGCAGGAATCCTGAAGTCAAATGTAAAACCTTTTAAGACCTTTTTTAAGACCCTTTCCATACATTTTAAGACTTGGAGTTTTAACCGGTTACATTGGCAACACACTTCACCTCACATTGACTATATACAGTATGGATTGTCCTTCCTCCTTATCTTCCAACCATTTGGACGCTAACTTGCATTTCCCCATAACGATGTTGTTTAACAACCGGCGTAAACGGACCTTCGCTCGCTATCAAGGAGTGAGCGTGCGATGTCCTGTTCAGAGGCAAGGCAAGTTTATTTATAGAGCACTTTTCTGTACGCGACAATTCAAAGTGCTTTACAAAACAAATTAAAATACTTTTTAGGAATAAATACATTAAAAACACATTATACAATTTTACAACAGACATTACAAAGCAAAGATAATAAAAATTAAAATAAACACCACAGGTAAACAATACATGTTTAAAAGGCATACTGTCGTTCGAATATGATCATCTCAATTAAAAGCAGCGGCAAAGAGATATGTCTCGATTTAAAAATAGTGAGCGTTTCTGCGGACGTGCATGATTTGGGTAGTTTGTTCCAGAGTGTCGGGCATAACAGCTAAATGCTGCCTCTCCATGTTTTGTTTTTACTCTCGGAGCCGATAGCAGACCCGTCCCAGCAGACCTGAGGCACCTTGATGGCTCGTAATTATGCAGGAGTTCAACAATATACTTTGGTCCTAAACCATGTAATGATTTAAAAACTAGCAATATTACTTTAAAATCAATTCTTTGGCCGACTGGAAGCCAATGTAGAGATTTCAGAACCGGACTGATGTGATCCACTCTTTTAGTGTTAGTGAGGACACGTGCAGCAGCGTTCTGGATCAGCTGCAGTTTTCTGATGGATTTTTTTTGTGAGCCCTGTGAAGACACTATTGCAGTAGTCGAGTCTACTGAAAATAAAAGCATGGACAAGCTTTTCTAAGTCCTGTTGTGACATTAGTTTTTTAATCCTCGATATAGTCTTCAGGTGATAATAAGCAGACCTAATGACTGTTGTAATGTGGCTGTTGAAATTCAGGTCTGAGTCCATCACTACACCCAGATTTCTGGCTTTATTAGTGGTTTTGTAATCTGCTGACTGAAGCTCTGCGATTACTTTTAATCGGTCCTTCTTTGCTCCAAAAACAATGATCTCAGTTTTTTGTTTGTTCAGTTGGAGAAAGTTCTGAGTCATCCAGTCAGTGATGTGCTCAATGCACTTGCTCAGTGTTCTAAATCGGAGAACAGTCTCCTGGTAATAAATCTGGGTGTCGTCTGCATAGATGTGACAACTTAGATTGCTCTTTTTAATAATTTCAGCGAGAGGTAGCATATAAATATTAAAAAGCAAAGGTCCTAAGATGGAGCCTTGAGGAACCCCGCATGACATATTTGTCAAAGTTGATGTGTAGTTGCCTATTGAGACAACGTTTTTTCTGTCCTTTAAGTAGGTACTAAACCAATTTAGAGCTGTTCCTGAAACTCCAACCCAGGACGTCAAATCCAACGGGATGCCATAAATAAACTACACAGAATCACACTACACACCTACGCAATGATTACATTCAGGCACACTGTAGAATACAACCTCTTTGGACAATTTATATACTTATTGAAAACAATTTACAAAATGTAACACCTTGGAAAATGCCGTTTAATACTTTTTAATAGCCTTCATTTTCGCTAAATTGATTTATCAACTTTTAATACTTTTTAAGACCCCGCGGACCCCCTGTTTATCTAATTTTACCTTTATTTTAATTCATACTGCACCTTATAAGTTATTCTCATTAATCTTGTGTGAACACTTGCATGTCCTCTGGGTTTCATTCTCATTATTGCTGTTGCTGCTCTGACGATTTCCCAACAGTGATTAATAAAGCGTGATCTTCTCTTTATTCACTTGTAATTTCATTAAAAACACACACATCCATCATGTCCTCTGTTTATTGCTGCCACACGATTACATAACCGTACCTGTCCCTCGCACATGTCCAGCAGGGCAGCCCGGTCCCGAGCGGCTCGGGCCAGTTTGCTCTGAAACAGTTTGCCGTCAAAGAAGCCCCACGGGCAGCAGTGTTCCCATGGCAACGGCTGGCCGCACACATCATTGATGAACAGCGCTGTGTCAACGCCGGCCATGAAGAGGGAAGCCAGCTGCACGCCGCGGGAATCCACCTTCTCCACCTAAAAGGATAACACACACACATTTAAATTGTTTAACTGCAGACGAGTGGCCGAACATTTCAAAGTGATAACAGTTCTGAGAACCTTGAGATCTGGCACTCAGGAGATGTTGTATGTAGCCTGTATAATGCAAATCCCTGAGGCTAGGCTCAAAAGAGGGAATTAACCTCATGCAACTAAAATGTTATCAACTCAAAGCGCTGAATCTTACTTTCAAATAACTTTAGAAAATCTAAAATACATAGCTCTCTTTTTTTTCACAACCAGAAGATGGATTATCAGTAGTTTATCTTTTGACATCACGAAAAATACTAAATACATAAATTACAAACAGAATCATCAATGATTTTGAGGAGTGGGGTCTCACCTTGAGCTCCTGGAGCTGGTCCGGTTCGTAGAGCTGGCTGGAAACAGCCTGAGCCAGAAAGGCATCTAGCTCGTGTCTCTGGAGGATCCTTCCACCAGGCCACTGCATCATATACCTGAGAGAGAGGCAAGACAAGGCTCTCTTTAGAGCAGGAGCACAGAGATACAGGGCACAGATGTCTACAGTCATCACTCCATATGCAGGTGCAAAGCTTTACTATATAAGAATGGAAATTGTGCCCCATGACATGATATCACAGTCAACACGGAAACCAGATAACCCTTACATTTTCTGAAGATAATTGTTGGAATCGTTGCTTTAAAAGTTACTCAAGCTATTGGTTGATTATTAAATTCTTGTAGATGGATGGATGGTATTATCATTCAGTCTGAAGTGCACTGGGAAAGAGCTGAACTAAACTCTTCAAATACACATAGTCAGTGTTTGGCTGTTTAGGTGCTCCTGCCAATCTCACACGGGAATTAGGGCCACACACACATTGTTTAGCAAACTACACTAACCCAGCAGCGTCATACCTGAGCACGCAGCACATGAGCAGCAGATGCTGGGGGACCTGTGCTGGGTTGAGGAGGGCTGGGCAGTCGGAGCGTAGGCAGGCCAGGAAGGCCCTGGTTCTCCTGGAGCGGTCCTCACTGGCTCGACCCAACCACAGCCTCCGCAGGTTGGGGCAGGTCCACTCCCGGAAACACAGGGCGGGGACCAGCTCCGGAGTCAGGGCCGACTTGGCTTTACCGCTGCTCCACTCTTTGACAATCACTGGAGGAACTGTAACGCAGAGGGGAGAGAAGTAAGTTAAACATTTAGCAGGTTTCGATTAAAAGACACAAGAAACTAGTGATGTGACGTTTGCGAACGATCCGATTCTTTTGAACGGCTCTTCGGTACGAACGAAGGGAACCGAGTCCTACTTGGCGAGAGCCGTTCTTTTTATCGTTGGTTCACTGCCTGCCATAAATGCACTCGCCTTTAAAAGAAACTTGCTTTCCTGAATGCACCTCAGCCGTAGATGATGGCATAATGCATGCTGCTTGAGCAGTAGTTTGGCTGGCTGAGAGATGTAGCAAGTTATACATTTTCTGTGAGTAAAAGTAGATTTCTGGCAATACAGTCAATCATTATCCTGGTGATTCTTTTGCAGATAAACCTATTAACCCCCTTAAAAAAAAAATTGCTCTTTTGAACGGCTCTCGGAAAGGAACGGAGCCATAAGATCCGGCTCCCTTCAAAGAACCGTAATTCCCTTCACAACAAGATACTGATACAAAGGTTTTGTGCTGGCTTTGGCACAGGCTAGTCTTTTAAGAGCACAATGAATAGGGTTTGTGGCTTTTTGTAAAACAAGATTCAAAGTTGGAATAACCCCCCCCGAAGGAGGGCTAGGGTTACCAGCAGCAGAAAGCTAACACGAGAAAAACACATTTGTCTCATGGCTCGTGCTTTTGGGTTGTTGTGGTCATTTTAAAATGCTACATGGGATTAAACTTGTGCATTTTTCATTTATGTGATCTCTTAAGCAAATTTAGATAAATAAATACCTAACTCTGCATATTGCCCAAACAAACATTTATTTGCATTTCATCTTTCTGGCAGTACCTCCATGGCCCACTAGACGGTGCTCTAAGGCCCACTGGTCCAGAACGTTTTTTAGTTAAATATTATAAGTTACTGGCCCTGCAAGAAATGTGTATTTGCATGCTACAAGTAAAGCCAATAACAAACTGGATTAAAAAGAATGTTTCTCATTACAGCACAAGACTCAGAAGCACAATACTTGACAGCATTTCAATTTTAGATGTCAATTCTATCTTTATATCTGTATATGTACTTTCTATAAATAACAGATGAGATTCATAATTTCCATAGGGCAGGAAGGAGGGCAGGTGTGATGATGAAATGGTTAAAGGAAATAAAAAACTATATAGTAACAGTTAAGATATAATTTGGCGTGATTCCCAGAAAGAAACTGTAATAAAAGTCAGTATACGACATGTAGAGAGCACATTCTCCACTCAGTGTGGGGACCTACCTTCCAGGGGGGGCCCTCTTGCGCATAGCGAGCCTCTCCAGGCGGCGGTGGGTTTCAGCCAGACTGAAGAGCACGCCGTAGCCATACTGTCTGGCAGCGCGGAACAGCAGAGAGGCCGGAGGTAGCTCAGAGTTACACTCATCCTCTATACACACTGGCATCTTCATCTCTCCCTGAGAGAAGTGAGGAAGAAGAGATTACATGGATGATCATTTATATTGCTGTTGGACATCCTCGTTGATCCATTTCCCATATGGATTGTCTAAGTTGTAATTTTATAATGTTATATTACAGGGTATATGCAGGAATCCTGAAGTCACATGTAAAACCTTTTAAGACCTTTTTTAAGACCCTTTCCATACATTTTAAGACCTCATCGCCACTTGGAGTTCTAACCGGTTACCTTGGCGACACACTTTACCTCACATTGACTATATACAGTATTGATTGTCCTTCCTCCTTATCTTCCAACCATTTGGACGCAAACTTGCATTTCCCCATAACGATGTTGTTTAGCAACCGGCGTAAACGGACCTTCGCACGCTATCAAGCAGTGAGCGTGCGATGTCCTGTTCAGATGACGTCAAACCCAACGGGATGCCATCAATAAACTACACAGAATCACACTACACACCTACGCCATGATTACATTCAGGCAGACTGTAGAACACAACCTCTTTGGACAATTTATATACTTATTGAAAACAAGCTACAAAATGTAATACCTTGGAAAATGCCGTTAATACTTTTCGCTAAATTGATTTATCAACTTGTAATACTTTTTAAGAACCCGCGGACACCCTGACAAATGACACATAAAGCACCCTCCTGGGACAGTATTCCTCTTCAATTGCATCAGGTTTCTCTTCAACTTCTCCCCGTTAACTGGGTTATTGAGTTTTTCTTAAGATACTGCAAGGGTCTGAGGACACAGGAATTAGTGTGCTGTACAGATTGTAAGCCCCCCTGAGGCAAATTAGAAATGTGTAGAATTGGGCTATAGAAATTACATTTTATTTGTTGATAAAACACCGGCCTTGCAAAGACAGAATACACACTTGCAGAGACCAATGCAAGCACAAATAAAAACATGGGAGTGAGGAAATCCGTTTACCTTGGTCAATATGTGGTAAATCTGGGGGTACATCAGTCCTCTTCTGTGCCTGTGCTCGGCTACACGAAGAACCTCAGCACTGACCTGAAAAGCAAAACAAAAAAACAGGAAACATCACAAAATGTAACTTTTAACACAACCTAGAAGTAGTTTTTGTATTTCTCTAATCGACACAAACCTGAGGCAGAGGGGGTGTGGTGATGTCCATGTGACTGCGTGTCGCCATAGACAACAGTGACGGAATGTGTGACACGCTCCCGTTGCCTTGGGAACCGTCTCCAGTGGCCAAGCCCCCCCTTCCAGTGGGATCCTCCCAGCGAGAGGACTTGTCTGTCAAATGGCTGAGGGAAAGGGTTCATGGGAGTGTTCAGTAAAGCTCGACTGGCATTCGTCATGTTTGTGTTTATAAGCGTTTTTTCAAACACATTTTTGTGTTGGATGCTAACTTTGTTTATATTACTAATATTACATCAGACGGAGATTAGCAGCAGCCACTCAGAAGTCAACAAAACCAAATAATCAAAGCCTTTTTCACACATACAAATTGTTTATATTAATGTCAAATATAAAGTTAACAGATTTCATGATATATCTGCACATATATATTAATGTGTGATGTCAATGCTTTGTTTTTCAGTATTTAAAATTCAAGCATATTCCTTGAAAATACAAATTAAAGCATTTTCCAAACTGTCAAGACTTTCTTCAAACCCTGACAAGTTCAAGATGTCCCAATTCAGATTTTTAAACCATGTTAAGATTATTTAAACTGAAAATCATGTGAGTTCCTTCTGTTCCTCCTCCATCTTCCTCCTCCTCTTCAGTATCTGTAATCCCTCAATCTCTAAGCTGCACCTGGGCTTCTTTACACCTTAAGCTTGTTGACAAAACATCACACAGTCAACAGGTGTATGTGTTATTGAGCTGTAATGGATGCACTGCATTCTGGGAAGGGCTCATTCCCCTTTTAACTTATCTTAAATGTCTCGCGTCTTACTTTGCGTTGCTGTCGTTGGGTTCGTCTCCGTCTGATGACGATGAAGGAGACGGAGAGGGACCAGACTGAGGGGCAGTGTGATGATTGGGTAATCGATTTCCCCCCTGAGTGGAATCATATGGAGCCGACCAATCAGTGAAGCCCATCTTGCCCGTCAGCGAATCGTTGAGGTCTTGGGACGGTGGCGGCGCATTCTGGAACATAGGGTTAGAGCCCGGTCCATATTGAGCATTTTGATAGGGCGGCTTCAACCCTGGAACCTGGGGGGGAGGAAACTGGAAGCAGAAGGAAGGGAAATGGATTCAAAAATAAGTACGTCCCAGAGTTCCCGTTAGAATATTTTTTCGCCGGTCAACATGTCCGTTAAAGTTTAAATCTTCCGGACAAAATGAGAAAAGTGCCGGTCAAAGGTCTTCTTTGTTATTTATTGTGCTTTAAAACAAATTGATTTGATTCGATATTAAACAAACTAATTATAGTAGATTAACTACATTATTCAAAAGTGAACAGTAACTTACAATAACACGGGAATAATAAACGGAGCGCTCTCCCTCTCCTGACAGCCCGTCAGTATCATGCAGCTCGCGGATCCAGTAATGAGTGACCCGACAGTAAAACTAAACATATCTATAACTAGTTACGGTAGTTTGAGAGGTCATTAAAATAGCTACGTGTGATATTCTAACCTGGTGTGTGTTTTGTTCCGCTCACCACTGCATGTGATCATGCAGTCGACTCGTCAGCAGCAGCTGATCTCTCTCTCCCGTCAGATTAGACTTCACTCGCGTTTATGTCCATATCGATCAGATCCAGCTAGTTCTAGCTAATGATATGACTACCTGCTTATTAAAAGACACCTAAACAATAAGTGTCGCTATGCAACCGGGTGAGGCCGCAAAGTATAGTGCAGCATTATGCATTTGTTTACATGCCCACCGGAACCCCGAGGCATTACCAACAGATCAACGCACAATCAACCCATACAGGACATCTCTTTCTCCACATTACGTGTTAGACATTAGAATTGACTATTCTTGTCTGTCACATACTCTTTTGTCTGTCACATAAATGGCGCAAGTTGCGCAACTGATGTGGTATTGCGCTAAGCGGAAATGATTTTGAACGGACACTTTGACCGGAGAGATTTAGATTTGCCGGTCTTCAGCATATTTTACCGGTCGTAGTCCGGTAATTACCGGCTAACGGGAACTCTGGTACGTCCCCTCCTGACCCAGAAAACGACGCAACTTCTGGTCCAGGCTCTCGTCATCTCTAGCCTAGACTACTGCAACTCCCTCCTGGCTGGTCTGCCTGCATGTGCCATCCGACCTCTGCAGCTCATCCAGAATGCAGCGGCTCGTCTGGTCTTCAACCTTCCTAAATATTCCCACACCAAGCCGCTCCTCCGCTCCCTTCACTGGCTTCCAGTAACTGCTAGAATCCACTTCAAAATACTGGTACTTGCGTACCATGCAGCGAATGGATCTGGCCCTTCCTCATTTCATTTCATTTCAAACCTTTATTTAATCAGATTGGTCCATTGAGATCATAGAGCTCTTTTTCAAGGGAGACCTGCAGCATATAGGTTCCACATGAAACAATGAAGGACATCATACATTATATTTACAGGATACATTTACATAGTTATAGACATTTACAAGTGCCCATAGTATCAATGAGCATTTCATCTAGCCTAGCTTTGAAAACATGCAGAGGAATGAGATTGCTCAGTTTCAATTCTTGCTGAAGATTGTTCCAAGCAAGTGGAGCTGCGCACATAAAAGCTGTCTTACCTGAGACAGTCCTTGCTCTTGGCACATCTAACAATACTACATCATGCGATCTCAGACAATAGCTGCTTGGAACTCTCTGTGTTATCAGAGAGCAGATATAATACGGGAGTTTACCCAACAAAGCTTTATAAATAAACGTGTACCAATGACTGAGCCTCTTTACAGTAAGTGATGGCAAACCTGCCTTGGCATACAGGGTACAGTGATGTGTAAGTGCTTTACAATTCCTTCCTACATCCAGGACATGGTTAAACCATACACCCCAGCGCGTGCACTACGCTCTGCATCAGCCAAACAGCTCGCTGCGCCCTCGCTGCGAGGGGGACCCAAGTTCCCATCAGCAAAAACACGTGGGTTTGCTATCCTGGCTCCAAGATGGTGGAATGAGCTCCCCATTGACATCAGGACGGCAGATAGCTTGCACATCTTCCGGCGCAAACTGAAAACTCATCTCTTTCGACTCCACTTCGAGCAATAAAATTACTAACAAAGAACTTATATACTAATAAAGGACTGGTTTATCTAAAGCCAGTTGAGTAGCACTTGAAATGTTTTGGCTCTATGAAACTTGATGTACTTATATGATTCTGTTTTCGTCAAGGTTGTATCTTCTTGGTCGAATGCACTTATTGTAAGTTGCTTTGGATAAAAGCGTCAGCTAGATGTAATGTAAAAGCAAGGAGCGAAGCGAGGAGAGAAAGGGAGGCGAGGGGTCCTTTCAGAGATGTGAACTAATACAAGGGCCGGACTGAATATATTTAAATGTTATAGTTCTTCATATAAAGCCATCAGTCCTCATATTTATGAATTCATTTAAATGAATGTTTTTATAAATCCTCTAAAAGAATCCTCAGTTGGAATAAAGTAATACCCTTTATTAGTTTCGGCACTGCCCGCCCCTTTATGAGACCAGCAGCCGGTCTGAGTATATTAATTCTCATGATTATGACGCATTCTCTCTCCCAATGTTCCAAAGGGAAAAGTATACTCTTTCTTCACAGGCCACAGTTTTCTGACCGAGACTCAAATAGCATTTTTGGAGAAAACTCATGAAAAATGTAGCTTGTGAGAGTCAAGTTTGTCTGATTTGTCCATCTCAAGTGGATCTGGAAACAAAAAGTGGTTACGGTACTCAAAATGTTTTTTGAAGTTGAACAATTTTAAGCAAACGACAATTAATGTTTGTGATCACCATGGCAAACTCATTTTAGTAAAGCTTAACAGCTCTATAAGCTGTGTTAATATGTAATATAATCAAATAATTTATAAACACATCAGACCACTTAGAGCAGGGGGGTCAAACTCAATTTCATCCCGGGCCACATCAGCATTATGGTTGCACTCAAAGGGCCGGTTGTGACTTTAAGACTATATAAATATTAGGGGTGTTGAAAATAATCGTTTCTACGATGCATTGCGATGCGGACGATTCGGTCTCGATGCAGTGACGGAAGATAATCGGTTATAGCGTAGTAACGTTGCTTCCTGATTTTCCGGCCGCGGCTTTACTATAACGTTTTTTTTCCCAGTCACTTTAATATCAAATCGGTCGGTGACGCAGAGATCAGGGAACAGACGTGACAGCGGCACAGCAACACCAAACACGGAGCAGTCTGCTTTATCCACCAACACAAGAACACCAGTCCAGAACCAACAGCAGAAGGACCCGCTCTGAATCACTCCGTGTCGCTGCGGCTCAGAGACACAGGGATTTATGTTTTTCAAAAATAATCGCGTTACAATCATGTCAGGTTTTTGGTGGATTTAATTAAGTCTTGGATTGCAGAGTATGAATGACCTCTAGCAATTTTCAGACGATATATACACGTGTGTAAAGTTTGTGAAGGCAGGAGGAAAAAAGCTTCCGCGATCACCGTCTCCTCTCCGTTCCTCTAAGCCCCGCCCCCTCCCTGAAAATAATGAGTGACAGGCTGATAGTGACCCGATAGAAACGTTATTATTCACTTAATCACTGAGATATAATGAAGCTAACTTAATCTCATACATTCATGGGATTTATGTAACAGTAAGACAGAGAATGTAAGTGTGCACCCACATGCAGTATTTTAGTTGTTATATGCTGTTGTAAATACTCCTGTTGTCTGCTGTGTTCAGACTCAAGTCCTGTGTGTGATGCCATATTCAGGACATTCAGTGTCCTTTTTTTAACAGAAGACCATTGCTAGAAGCTGCAGCTAAACTGCAGAAGCATTATTTTTTTGTTTTTGAGGATGGAACAACATCACACACAGATATAGGGAGGCTAGACCTATACAATTCATTTATTTTGGTTTATAAATGAATGTCAAGATATTTATGTTATTGATTTCTGAAGCACTTTCTAAATAATAAAAAGAGAGTTCATATGTATTTACTGCATGTATGCATTGATGAAAAATAAGCCATGTGCAGTAATATAGAAAATTGAGGATGCAACGCATTGGTATGAATCGTGATATCGAATTGAATCGAATCGTTGACAGGATAATCGAATCGAATCGTGAGACCAGTGAAGATGCACAGCCCTAATAAATATATATAAAATAATGTATTATAATACATAATTTCCTGTGCATTGGATTATTATCGGATAGGGTAATAACTTCATAATTAACTACGTCTGAAAGCAGAAGTCTAAGGCAAATAGTTGCAAGTCTCTTCAGTGCGAATGTCACAAAACAAGATGCATTGTGGGACATGTAGTTTATAGGCAACGTGCCTCTGTAAAGTGGCATGTAACCGTATAATAAACGTATTATATTCTTTGCATGCTCTTGCGGGCCACATTCAATTGCGGGCCGGATTTGGCCCCCGGGCCTTGAGTTTGACACCCCTGACTTAGAGACAGGAAGTGTATACCATTTCATTTCAGCCGTTTGTAATACTTCATCTTTTGCCTTACCCCGTGTTACGTGCCAGGCAGGCTGTACTGGTGTGGTTTTCCTTCCCTCCTGTGTTTCTCTCTTCTCCCTGTCTTCTGCACAGCTAATCAGCAGCTGATCGGTATCTGCCTGTGCACCTGAGTCTGATGGCTGATTGGATCCTCTCACCCTCAGCTGGCCTATCAGCAGCCAGGGCCGACCATAAAGGAGGCACCCAGGAAGTCTTCTCGCTCTCTCACTCTGGGCCTGTTGCTGATGAAGGAGCCTGCAGTGTTTAGCAACTCATTCTCTTTGTATTGTCTGACCTTTTTGAAAGTGTGTGTGTTGAGTAGGGGTGCAACAACTAATCGACTTAATCGATTACCAAATTAGTTGCCAACTAATTCAGTCGTCGATTCGTTGGTGACGTCATCACATGTGTTTTACGCGCCGTTAAGCTCCAACGTTATTGGTCTTTTATCGGTACCGGAGACATTTAAAATATATATCATGTATTATTGCTACAAAAACATTATATCGCAGTCTTAGTGTCGCCAACTCGTTTCTAATATGCAAAAAGACAAACAAATGCGTCTATGATGTATTTTCGATCAGACGAGATCTCTCTCCCCCGTCTGTGTGCGAGGGGGCGGGGCAGTTTACACACACGCAGCTGCTACATGCAGCGGAGCACACTGCGGAGATGGCGGAGAGAACGCGCTCCGAGGTGTGGTTAAACTTTACCTGTCTCGATGTGGAGAATGCTCGTTGCTAAAAGTGCAATAAGAGTTTAGCATGTAAGGGCGGTAGCACGAGCAGTTTGTCTAAACATTTATCAAAAGTGCTCCACATGCAGACGGAGGAATGCACCGGGTTCGACCGTCTTTCTAGCAGCTCTGCAGCCCCATCCACGAGTAACGTTTCCACGTCAGGTGTTATGTATGCTAGCAGCAACACACGGAGTTAACTACATGATACAAACATGGGTTAATGATTAGAGATAACTGAGGTATTTATTTTGTTAAAGTTTCAGCTATTCTGTTTACAGTCTGTCATCAGATTACTTAATACGATTTGTTAAAACACTGTTGTTTCTTTTGATGTGAAATATTATTTATTTAATTTAAATTAAAAGCAATGTTAGTTTTGTTCAAAATGTGTTTAGTTAGTTTAATAATATATGTATTTTTGAATCAAGTATTCATCTTTATTGTCTTGTTAGTTTCCACATGCCTAAAACAACCTCAAGCTAAATCTGAAAGTTGATGGCTAAGAGCGTTTGAGAAATTGTGCAAGGCATACAGTAGGGGTGTAACGGTACACGTACCCGTACCGAAATTATTCTGTACGAGCCCTTCGGTTCGGTACACGTGTGTACCGAAGTGTACCGAACGAATATAACGTTAAACGTAAAAAATTGAGAACGTGAATAACTTTTTGGAAGTAATCTCAGGTGCTGCGTCGCAGCATTCAGAGTAATTTGGTCACATTGGGTTCAACGCGTCATAGAGCGAGCAAGTCATTTAATTGGATGAGAGGCATACTATGAGAGCTGGTCAGAGGGATGCGTTCAAATGTAGTCAGTCATTTGAGGAACTGTCGAAAATTAATGGCGAACGCAGATAAAGTTGAGCTCGAAAATCCTCCAGCATCATTGAAGTCTCCGGTTTGGGAACATTTTGGTTTGACGGACAAAGACAGGTGGACCGAACCAAAGCTGTTTGTCGGCATTGTTCAACTAAAATTGGTTACGCGGCTGACAATACATCAAAATAAGCCATCTGTATGTAAAATATGTCTTATATGTCTTAAATGACATGATGAATTGGAAATGGGGGACCCTGATGTAAACAAGACGAAAGTCTTTCTCTGGTCTGCATCCCCTTAACAATTGTATGTTTTGAGCTGTACTGTACTGTACCCAATATACAAGCTGTTAATAAACTTTTCAATCAATCAATCAATCAATCAAACTTGCACACTCTTGAAAAGGCATCACCCGAACGTGAATATCACCGGTAGGCTACCAAAAGAAAAAAGACTGAAGTGCAAACCCAACTCCCGCTAGCATTTAAGCCTCCACCACTCGCAAAAAGTTCAGACCGAGCCAAAGCTATTACAAACACCAAATATCCTTATGTTGCCATGTTAGCAAAGCGCTACCTGGCTGTATCTGCTACCTCTGTCCCTAGAGAGGGTGTTCTCCACAGCAGGAGACATTGTTAGTGCCAGCAGATCTGCCCTTTCGGCAGCAATGTGGACAAGTTCATTTTTATTTTAAAAAACATGAAAATACAATGACAAGCAAGTCCTAATGTCAAACTGGCTGCTTAGGAACTAGTACAGTTCAAATACAGATTATTTCAGTTCATCGAAATGCTGCACCTTAATGTTTATTTTATTATATTTTGTATTTATTTGAGTGAATACATTATTCACAGTTTAATAATAATAATAAAAATATATATATATATGTTTTGTTTTGTGAAAAAAAATTCTGCTGTACCGAAAACGTACCGAAACCAAAAAACCGAGGTACGTACCGAACCGAAATGTTTGTGAACCGTTACACCCCTAGCATACAGTAATAGTCCGAATAGCCGATTAATCGTTTCATTAATAGATAGATTAATCGATTATCAAATTGGTCGTTTGTTGCAGCCCTAGTGTTGAGAGGTGGAGGAGTTAGGTCAGTCTGGGGTACCCTGTACATTTCTCACCACGTAGCTAACTAATGTTTAGACACACTAGGTCAGTGCTTCTCAAAGTGTGGTCCGCGGACCACCGGTGGTCCGTGAGCTCCCCCTAGTGGTCCGTGAGTATATTGGTAACATTTCACATTTGAAATAAATAAATATATTTAAGTTTTCCGCACTCTCGCGGGAATATCTCCGCAATGGAGCGAGCTTAAGTTCCACTTTCATAGCCCAGCGCAACACCTTCATCACACATGTTGCCACTTGTTTATACCATTTTCACGCGATTTGTAATCTGTTCTAGAAAAACGATGTGCTTTTGGATATTTGTGGAGTTAAGTGGTCCTTGGTATGAAAAAGTTTGAGAAACACTGCACTAGGTTAGCGGATTGTTGCCACCCCTGTATATTTATTTGTCAAATTCTTTGTAGTTTAGTTAGTGAGGGTTTTTTTGTTTTGGTTTCGAAGGGTAGATGTAGAGATAGGCCTGGTTTTGTTATGCTTGTTTCTTTTGTTTGGCACAATCCTTTGACTCCTCCTCCTCCTCACCAACAGAGTGTTTCAATTATATGTCCGTTCGGTTCGGGGTTTACACAAAATAAACCTTTTGTCAACTGTTACGCTGACTCCCTCATTTTTATTGGTTGTATGTTATTGTCTCCAGGTCCCCTAGACCTTAGTGGGGACGTAACACCCCGATATACACAATTAAATTACTAATAATATTACTGTAGCCTAATCTTTATCTGTACTGTGCAGAAATACTGGGACTAAACAAAAAAGGAAATGCTAAATATTGGAAAAGAGCTAAAAGGAAGCTTTGAAACTTAAAACTAAATCATGCAATACCGTCCTATTTGTTCTGATAAACCGTAATCCATTCTGCTACACATACATTCATGGAGCTCTAATTACACAGACACCAAGGAGGAAGAAAGAATTCCTGAGCTGAGGAATCTACCTGATTCTTTCCAGGCTGCATCGGTCCCATGTGGCCGGGTGGTCCCCCAAATCCGAACCCAGGTACTGAGCAGAAGAAACAAAGATGTAAATGAATATCTTCTCTTAAATACATACACATGTAGTACACCAACAAATGATGATGCAAGAGTGTGGACCATTGATGTCTAAACTTGAACTACTCACAGATGAAAGCTGAGGGCCCCATGTTGGGCGAGCGAGGTTTGGAGGCAGCTGAGAAATAATCCACGGCTTTTTTGAATCGCTGCACCTTGTCCTCCATGCGAGACTGGAAACAAAAGAACAACGTGTTATGTTGACTCCATAACACGGTGAGAAGGAGAAGATAAATTGCAACGGCCAGATGGATGCACACATCTGTTGCCGATTTACTGTATTCCCTATCAGACGTCAGCAATGGGAATGTTGTGAATGAATGACCTGACAAATGTCTGAAGTTACCCTGCCTTGAAATAAAAGGGTGCCACAGGTGGCTTTAATGACTTAGGGTTGAGTTTTCAAATTTTGCTCGATTTTAAATCCGTTACAAATCAGTGACTTACCTGAAATTCCCTAAAATGTTAAGGCTGACAATATTCCTTTTCTCCTAATAGTCAAAAAATGATTTGTTTTTAATAGTTTTTGAACACCTATGGAGTGCGATGGCATAGAGGAAGAAGATGTATAAGAATTTGGATACACAGTTAACTATTGGTACCTTTAGAGTATCACCAGACTTTTCCGTAAGATCCAAGTCTAAGAGATTTGTCTACAACAGTTTCCTGCAACAAGTAATGGAATAAAAGGATGTGCTGCTCCAACTCAGAGAATCAGTTGTTTACTGCATGGCAGTGCGGCGCAAATACTTTTAAGAGCAAGAAAAATTCACTTAACAAAAAATAAAAAGGGAACATTCTCAAGGGGAGCTTCAAGTAATTTGCTACTCAAACATTTATCCACATTACCCCTACTACATATTCAGTTTAATCTCCTTTGACAAAAAATGTTCAAGTACTGGACCCAACTACATTTTTTGAAAATATTATTTTAAATGATTAAACCTTTTGTCTATTAACTTCCTGTTGATCAACCAATACATGAATCAAGGTCAACTTTACAACTTTTTTTTAGCTTAGGCGTAAATTCAGCTCCGATGGAAACAAGATGGCAATCGCAAAGATTCTTAAGAAATTAAATTGAAATGTAGACTTTTATATTTTGGATAATCGTGTTAAACATTTATATGAACAGTGGGGAATTTCTACGGTTTAATACTGATGTGAGGAAGTGCAGGCGCTGACTCAGGATCTTGTGTCCACAGTCGTGACCTATTTAACAACATGCAACAGTCTGGCATGTCAATCAGACGGAAAACATAAATCCATTTCAATCAAATTTAACTCAAAAAAGGGTTAACAGAAACACATCACTGTCAGAGGGGGAGAGAACCCACCTGTGACTGTTTGAAGACATCTCTGGCGATGGCGTCGAGGTTTCCCAGGTCTTTGATGGAGGAGACGTACTCTGAGACGGCCTTGATCACCACCTCACAGGGCGGCAGCACCAACTGGTGGGCTCGCACCTGAGAGAGAACAGAACAAAGGTTTAAATACACATACGCCTGGTAGGGTGGGGAGTAGGGTAAGATGATATGATATATACTGTGCACGGGTAGATAGGTTACAATATCGCTGATAATGCAATCCCGCACACAATTAATCTAATTTCAGAACCTTATCCTATGAAACACCACTTAAAGGTAGGGTAGGTAAGAATGGAGAAACCAGCTCGAGTGCGCTAGAATTTGAAAGTACACAACCGAAAAAAATCTGCCCTACATGTTTCACAATAAAAGCTTCCGAGAGGATTTTCCTGTAAAAGACCAGCAGTCAATGGAAAACAGGAAGGCTTTTCTCGAATATAAAAAATATACTTTTATATATATATTTATGGAGATTTGATATAAAAGATCTGGTGCTTATGTTTATATTTAAAACGGTAAATCAGGGCTCCCTTCACTAATTACTTTATAATGTGATTATTAGAGTTTGTATACTTTTAAATTAGGCTGTGGTTTGCAGAGGACGTAATGTGGTACCTTGAGAGAAGCGAGAGGGTGTTCTGGTCCCAGCAGACTCCAGTGGAAGGCAGCCAGGTCCTCATCAGGCAGAATATGATTTCCTGCGAGACAGAAACTCTTTAATGTTTGCTGCTTCAATAGAAAAGTCAAACAGACAAAAAGGTGTGCCAGAAACACAAAGCGTGTCCACTGAGGTATGTGGGAGCGCGGTGATAATTACCCAGCAGAGCAGCAAAGCAGGGCAGGTGCTGTGTCTTCAGCCCGAGCTGCCTGGCGGCCTCAGACAGCAGGTACTGGTGTGTGGTCAGGTTCTTGCCGTTCCAGCTCAGTTTGAGCCCGTGCGACGAGAAGTAGGCGGGTACGTTGCAGAGAGCAAACTCAGAATCCTGAGCGATCAGGCCGGAAAATCCAAAGTCTCTGTAAAGAGACAGCACTTCCTGGTGGTGGTCCTCCAAAGTCTGTACAACCTGTGGGTTTACAAAACATCAAAACTCTGAATTTCATGTCTTTTTGTTTATTACCTTGTTGTTTTTAGTGTGTTTGTAGGTTTTAGTTTAGCTCTTCAGAAGATTTTGTTTCTTTATATTTGGTTTTAAGTGTTTTTGTATTCTGTTAAATTCTAGTATAATGTATAAGTATGTTGCTAAAGAACGCATGGTTGGAGAACTGCATAGTTATGTATGTAATGTTTAAATATGGGAATAAACTTGAGTACTCTTTCACCAACAGATTCAGATGTTAACATTAAACTTGGGATGAATAGCTTGGTAAATAGCATTTGGGATGCATTGAGTGAGTATAATATCTAAGTCATGTTCTTGTTATTTTACTCTACAAAAAGTACACTTGTCGAAGCAATTGTGACAGTGCCATCGGGAAAATTGTGGTGGCCATTTTTATAAACAAAAACTATCAATTAATCTATAAAATAATTGAGAGAATAATATATAATGAAATGTACGATAATGTGCAGCCCTACATTTACAACTACACAATATATACTTTTTAATTCAATACCAAAAGCAAATGAAAGGCAGAACTGAGTACATTATAAAGTTTATCGCAAAAGTGAAATTCAATAAAGTTTGCTATATTCTTCTACCTTCTGTACAATGGTGGATCTGGGAGACTGATCAGCTGCCAAAGCAATCACTGCACACTGAATGTACCAGGATAGAGGTCACAGACGACCAGTGGTGCCGCCACTTTGTATACTCTCAAAATACTTAAGCTTCATAGCATTTGCGGAAATACATCTATAGAAAATCTGTGCAGCACCAAACGGTTCTAAATCACTGGTAGTGATACAGACACTTGGACCAAGGGCAACACAAGTGTTCAGAGCCCACTCATGCAGAACCCATTGGAGGGTGAGGTGCACGACTACGCCAGAGAGCGAGCATGAGAGCTTCAGACTTGTAATGTTAATCTTGTTTAACTATGTCAGCGTTAATGAGAATGAAAACTAAATAATTATACTCAGATATATACAACATCGGTTTAATGAGCTGGTAATCAAATCTGTCTTCAAATGAACTGCATGTGGCAGTGATGGCTCAGTATGATAAGCTGTTTCACAACTATTCAAAATCGCCCAACATGTATTGTGTCACACTGATTCATAATCAAACTAAATACCAATGTTAACATCCAGAATAAAATATCACAATAATTATAAAATGACAAACTAGCTGGCATGCAGCACATGTAAAGCTGAGAAAGTGACAGAGGAAGAGTAATGACTTTAGTAAAGGTGCCATTCAAGCCGAGAACATATATTTTAAGCCGCAGAAATAGGACTGTATCTCAGAATACAGGTCGGAAGAACAGAAAGTACACATGGGAACAGTGAGTAATGATGTTATACACACACAACGGCAGAATGTGTTGTACTGTAATGTGGGTGGGATTTTTCTATTCTCTATCATGTCACGGTACTCTGTTGCTTTTTAAAAAAAAAAGTATAAATACTATCATGCAAGCAGATAGGCAGGTATGTCAAAAGATAAAATAGTAATGTTGACAGGAATGAACGATGAGTCAATCAGTGGTTTTGATGCATTCATGGCAGGCCTAGAACATAACCTTATGAGTTACATTTCGTTTCTCAAACCCATTACCTTTTTTTGGTTTAAGATGATTATAGTATACCCAGCTACTATAGTTTTAACCATAGCTAATATTCTTGAAGATAGGTCAGATGCACACATTTTTATTTATTTAAATATTCTCAATCATCCATTAACTGAAATGCAAAACAAATCATTATAAATGTGCCACTGTCAGGCAACAGGGGCCTATTAATAGTCTATCCACTCAGCAGTTGTTCAACAATGTATAAAGGGTTCAATGAGTTCATGTTATGTAATATATAGGCTGGTCTAGGTCATGTTGCGCAATACATGTTGCTCTAATGCACAGACTGGTTTTACCGGTAGATGCTGCTCCACATTAGCACCGGATACATTTCTCCTCCCAGTAGACAAGATAAGGCAATGCATCACTGATATAGATATATATACTCTGCTGGTTTAAAACTGCCAATGCAAAAACAGCCCGTTTGATAGATTATGTGTGTTCTTAGGGCTAGTATGTGCACTTGTTCCCCAACTGGAAGGAGTTAACACGGCGCTGCTAAATGGGCGTGCAACAAGAAAGGGCAAGTATTAAATTAACAGCACATGACCACAATAAAACAACTTAACACAGCTTTGATCACACATGGCTCACCCGCACTCGGAAGCGGAACATGGCGAGGCGGACGCAGTGGCTGAGGCAGGCCGGGGGCAGGAACCATGCTCTGGGAGGCGGGGTGGCCTTGCTGCCGACGTGGTTGACTATCAGCTGCGCGGTCTGCCGCTGGCCCTGAGCTCGCCGCGCCCACTCGGGCCAGCGCTCCTTCCCAGTGTGCCGTTGAAAACCACGACCAGCTCCAGGCCCCCCTGGTACAGGCAGGCCTGCGACAGGGCGGCCAGGTAGCCCAGCATGGCGTTCCACTCTCCCCCGCACACCCAGTCCGTCTGGTAGCCGCCGTAGAGGCGCTGCAGGCCGGAGTCAGCGTCGATTAGGATCCTGGCAGGCGGGGGCGGGGGAGGCATGGGCCCGGGGTGATGTGGGTGGTGGTGTGGGTGATGGTGGTGGTGAGGGGGCTGGCGGGCCGCGGTACGGGCAAGCTTCAGGAGGTCCACCGGGACTGCGGCCCCGGGACACCGCTTCTCCAAATACTCTTGAAAACCCTGCACTCCCATGACGGTGTTGTTCAGCCTGTGTGTCTGGCCGGGAGAGGGCTCTGAATACGTTCTGTACGCCGTGTTTGTAATGTAATGTGGGGCGAGACCGGAGCTAGCTGTGCACTTTAGGCAAGCTAACTGGTCTCCGATTCAGTGAAAAACTGTAGTTTAGTTAACCCTGCAAAACAACTTATCTGTCACCCAGATTAGTGAAATCAGTCACCATGCACTGATGTACACGTGTGTCAGCTATCGTTACTGATTCCGAGATATCGAACTGCGAATTTCTCAGTTTTGGTCGTGGGTGCTCAGTTTAGTGTCCATCCCTGTGGATTTTTGGTGAGATGCCAGCAAGGCCAGTGTAGCTACCTACCACCAGAAAAAGTTCAACACATTTCCTGCTCCCATAATTTTGCTTTAACATAACCAGCTTCAAAAATGTAGTTGGCAGCAAGTAACGGAAATGCAGCAAGGTGGTTGATGGTGTTAAAAAATTGCAAATAAAACAATTACCCTGCTAGTTTGTGCACATGAAACAGATGCAATACTGCGCATTAGTTAGCAACCCACAGGCTGGATGGCCAGTTCGCGGACATGATGTTAAACCGAGCAGCTTGCTAAATCGTTTTTGTGTTTTTACCTGACAGCTGAAATATTTGACATTTAATCTGCACTACCTCCGGCAAATATCACCGCACTTGTATCGGTAGCTTGTTGGTTTGCAGGTGTCAGAATATGAATTAAAACAAACTAACAAGCGGTGTGCCTGGCTAGCTGCACTAACAGTTGCTAAGTGATCGTTAGCCGTTAGCTGCTGGCAGGGTCCCCGGCGTGATTTGACGCGTCAACTCCCGAAGACAAGTCCGGGGCCGACACGACGCGGAATGAGATGGATGTTTAACGAAATAAAAGAAAAGTAACTAAAATTAAATTAAAATAAAAGCCCGATGGTGCCTCCCTCGCTGTCTTCCACACTCACGGCTTCATGTTGCAGAGGGGAACATTACTTCCAAGCGACATCAGCCATCTTGCGACTTCCTCGCGGCCCAGTGGAGTGGGAGGGAAGTGGAGGAAGGAGGAGCGGCCGGAGGAGGGATGCTGGGAAATGTAGTCTTATTAGCGTATCACGTCGTACTGGGACATATTTGGTGGGAAACCGATTAAAACTACAACTACCAGCATGAGGATACCGACAGTTTGGACGAGGATAAAAAAAGCTGGAGAGAGAGGAGAATTTCTCCAAGTAGCCCACAAGTGATTCAAGTACAGACGCCGTTATTTGTTAGTTAACCACCAGCCTCTGATAATATCACCTCTTTCATGTCAAAACGCAGATATTTATAATACCGGTAATGCTAGCTAACGTCTGCCACTGTAGACCAACGTGGATGCTAATGAAGTATGTAATGCTTCAGGAGTGAACATATAAACGGTGTAAACCGGTGAATTTTAAAAAGTCAACACGAATCAACCGTTAATGAACGTTAGTAGATTAGAAAATGAGTGAGCGGTGGGTGTAACAGGTAGAATGGTGATGTCCGGTTCATGGTGGATCTTGTGTGTGTATGTCGTCCTCCTGTGGTTCACATTGGTACTCTCAGAGGAATTTAGATTTAATATTTGTAATCAATTTAACACCAGGAATTTTTACAAAACAAGACAGGGAACTCAAATACAAAGACAAAGGATAGTCATCAATCAACAATGGAGGAAATTGTGCAACAACACAGTCTATAAACAATTGTGGAACCATTATTCTAAAAAGTAATAGAGATAAATATACAGGCCTACGTATAAAAAAAATAAACAATAAGAAATAGAAACAATAAATGTATATTTTATATTTTAATACATTTAACACAAAGGATAGCCTATGCAACACAATCCATCATAAACAATAATTGTACAATTATTCTGAAAATCTATTGGGAAACATAAAACAACATTATGAAAATAGAAACCATCAAGTAATTAAATGTTTTGATTATTTATTATAAGATTATAAGTATTTCAGCGACTTTAAATGTCTAGTTGGCTAAATTAAACATGATATGACATGATAGGTAAAATAAGGACAAAGGTCTTTCCACTTTCAAGTTTGAATATGATATTTTCCCCAAATAATCAAAAAATGTACAGTATCTGAAATGTTTGCCTCCATGCAAGCTATTCATAAAATAAAATAAAGTAAATGATGGAATGTTGTTAGACAATATTGAAAAACATGGTATTAGACCACTATACCCCTGCTATGCTATGACCCCTGTTTCCCCCTCCACCCAGGCACCCAACTTTGGCGTTATATTTGACCCCACTCTCTCCCTCCAGCCCCACATCCGTCAAGTTGTAAAAATCTCATTTTTCCACCTCCGCAATATTGCCAAACTCCGTCCCTCTCTCACCCGCCCTGCAGCTGAGCGACTCATTCACGCCTTCATCTCCTCCCGCCTTGACTATTGCAACTCACTCCTCTGGCATCAGCACTACACCCCTCAATAGACTCCAGCGTGTCCAGAACGCAGCCGCCAGACTCCTCGCCCACACCAAATCATGGCATCACATCACCCCGGTCCTCAAAGAACTCCACTGGCTCCCCGTTTCACACCGCATCCACTACAAACTCCTGGTCCTCACTTTCAAAGCCCTCCACCATCTGCCCCCCCCCCCCCCTACCTCACTGACCTCCTCATCCTCTACCAACCACCCCGGTCCCTCAGATCCACCTCAGCCGGTTTGCTTTCCATCCCCAAGGCCAAACTCCGGAGCTTCGGGTATAGAGCCTTCTCTGTGGCAGCCCCGAAGCTCTGGAACTCCCTCCCCCAATACCTCCGTGAGTCTGAGTCCCTCACCCTGTTCCAGTAACGCCTCAAAACCCACCTCTTCAACTCTGTATCTATAAGCCCCCCCCCCCCCCCTCTCAACCAACTTCCTCCTGACTGCTTTTCTGTTTTGTTTTGTTTCTTTGTTTCTTTTTGGCTTTGTTATTGTTTTGTTTGTCTAACCTCCCTCCCAAATGTAAAGCGTCTTTGGGTTCAAGAAAAGCGCTATAGAAATAAAATGTATTATTATTATGATAGAGACAATTGTGTATATCAGAACAAAACATTATTTTAAGGATTTTATATACGAATGTTTATTTGAATCCAAACGGCATATATATATAGGCTATATATATATATATATATATATATATATATATATATATGGAACAATTCAAACTGCAGTGCATGGGAGAATTAAAACTCACTTGAAGAAAAAAATTTCAAATATTTCCCCCAACTTGTTTCACAGTTGAAAATATATATATATTTTTTTTTTTACCTGATCTTAAACACAGGGGAAACAAACTTTAGATCATTAGAAAAATGGATCACCATATTCTTGCCTCTCCGGGCTTTCTTACAATCAGTGTAAGGACTTTTTTTTAAGGGTCAAATGTGTCAGCTTCTGAATAACAAAGCATGCAAAGATCCACCCTCAAATGTATATATTTTGTGTAATAAATTCATAAAAGGGAATTATTGGAGGGAAAAGTGCCATGGGCATCAAGCTATCTATCTAGGCCACCATTGAGGCTGCATGTTAGCATTACCATGGTAACACAGAGCTAGCTTGAAGGACTTCATTGTGCTCAGATATTTGTCTCGGCATCCTCCGATAAAAAATGTGTTCCGAATAAGAGTCTCTTTCTTGTTGATTAGTGAAATTGGGGAGACCATGAAGTGGTTACACACTGCCACCAGGATATTGGATGTCTTCTCCTGCCAATATATGACAAAATATAAAATACACAATGTATAATCTAATGTGAAGAATGCATCTCATGAATATGTACATTTTGAGGGATATGAGAATGTTCATCCTGCTATGGCAACCTGAATATAAAAAGCAAAGCCTGTCAAAGATTGTTCATCCTCCCTCAGAGGGAAAACTATTCAAATTTCCATTTTGTATGCAATGCAAACAAGGTTATTGTTAACTTGCATGTAAGCAAACACGGTCTGCTCACGACAGTAGCACTCTTCTTCATCACTGCAAAAAAGCATATTTGTTGTCCTATATTTCTGCACTGTTATGAGGTTTTAGTTGTTGTTTTTCTGTGCTCTGCTAACTGAACCGAGAACTGAATGTTTATTAATTATTTATTTAATTCTATGTTAACTGTTACTACTATTACCATTACCATATGCCTATAATACAATATTGCCACTATTTTTACCACATGATTTGGCAAAACAGTTGTTTTGATTCACCATGCCAAGAAAGCAAATTTGAATTAAAAATTAAAGAGAGAGAGAGAGAGAGAGAGAGAGAGAGAGGAGAGAGAGAGAGAGAGAGAGAGAGAGAGAGAGAGAGAGAGAGAGAAGAGAGAGAGAGAGAGAGAGGAGAGAGAGAGAGAGAGAGAGAGAGAGAGAGAGAGAGAGAGAGAGAGAGAGAGAGAGAGAGAGATTACCTCGGAGCGCGCAGCACGCCCGCGCAGCCCCAGTGTCGTCCATCCTTCCCCGTGGAGAGAGAACCATGACAGCCCGGTCAGTGCAGTCCCTCTCCGGAGCCCTGAAGCTCCTCTTCAACAACCGGTTAACCATGGTAGGATCAGTCTCTGAACAACATAGTCATCTGTTTAAATACAATTTAAAAACATTTGACGTGGTTTTAACACTATTTCTTTTGGTAAAACAGCGATGTGTGAAGCTAAGCTGATTAACAGTTGGTTAGCCTAGCTAAATAGGCTAACCAACTGTTCATGTCGCTGTCCTTCAGCACCACTGGTGATCCCTTCAAAGAAAATGTAATTCTACTTATGCAGCATTCCTCCTTTTCTCACTTAGCGAGATGAGGCTGTAAATGCATACTCTATCTGCTCCCTGCACTCATCAATTATTCAGGCAGTAATACAACAGGTAGCTGACTGGGAGCAATGGGGGAGACAGTATTCAGAGCTTTTAGTTAATTAAAAGTAGCTAAACCACAGTGTAGAAATACTCTGCTACACATAAAAGGCATGCATTCAAAAGCTAAAAGTATTATCAGCAACAAACCAAAAGTAAAAGTACTCATTATGCAATATTTGTTATACTATATCACTGGATTATTGATGCATTAATGTGTTAGTTTCTTATGCTGTAGGCTAAGCTAGCAGGCTAACTCAATTCATTATAATACATATCAGTTTTTTGGGTTTATTTTCTATTAAAGGTCCAATGTCATGGCCATTTCTACTGATCATAATTCCATTGTTGAGGTATACTAGAATAGATTTATATTATATATATATACTCACATTGGTTTCTCATAAAGCATCTCTGTAAAGTATGTGTATTCACTCTCTGTCCTAAACGGCTTGTTGGAGCTCCTGCCCCCCCCCCCCTCCCTGTGAGCCCAGTGGACGTCTGCGAGACAGCGAGACACAGCGAAACCCAGCCCGAAACACACACACACCCGCAGCCTGGCTAGGAGTTTGTGTGTGTGCCCAGGCTGAGTTCCGCGGTGTCTCGCCGACCCCACACCAGTGAGCCAGCTCACAGTGTCCCGCTCCTCGCAGCAGCGAGCCTCGTAAAGTCCCGCCGAGTATGTGTGTGTGAGGAAGTCCGCGGATTGGTCCAAACGTAACGGCACTATACCCAAGAAGTAAACAATGAAAAATGAGAAATCTCCAACGAGGCGTTCTGGGGCAGCATAGACGGGTCTTTTCTGTGTTAGAGTTTTACTCGCTACAGGGTGTACTTTGAGGGTTTGTGACTCTGCAGACCGTTTACATAACGGCATAAAAACCTTCATAACACACAAGGGGACGGGTAATAACCGGAAAAGCATGACATGGGCCCTTTAATAATCAGTATATGCAACGCAACCAAATGTAGTGGAGTAAACATGCAAACTAGCATAAAAATAACACAAAAAAGTATTGAAATAAAATATATGAGAAACATGGAAATATCAAAAATACTTCAGCTTCAAATGTTTTCTCCTGCCATTATATGAGGAAATAAACACACACACACACACACACACACACACACACACACACACACACACACACACACACACACACACACACACACACACAAATGGAGGACAGTGTTATAGATTAGACTTGTTTTTTTTTATACATTTGAACTAATACATATTTTCTGCCTCTAACTAACTTCTGTCTGTATTCACAGGTTTATGGTGTGGCAACAAGTACTCAGAGACACAAGTCCTCTTACACTGTGAGTTGTTAAGCATACAAGAAAACATAAACAAATCTGTCACGCATACCTTGTTTACCTTGTGACCTTCCCAACTGGATAACCCCACATCAAAATACATTTCCCTCTTAACTGTAATGCATTTATTAATCTTGATTGTTTTCCTGTGAGTTGTCGAACACACACAGACCATCATGGACCAGATGTGACTCGGTTGATGGGTTTAGTTTAGTCGAAAGAAAATAGACCCTTTATGAAACTCCTCACAGCAACTTATGTGGATTATATTGAATAACCAGATCATGATTTTTGAAAGACACACTGCTGTTGATGGTGTTCATATTTTTGTTACTCAGCCAGTGTTCGTGGGTCTGGTGGACCCGCTGCCTTTTTGGGCTTCAATTCAACACAATCAAACTATGTGATGTTAAAATACAGATGTTTACTTCATCTCAATTACAAGCAATATAAACAGTATGGTTCATATTTGCCCTTTTGTTAGATCACATTAATGAATTCAAGTGCTCCTTGTTTTTTCGCCCGCTGACCGGCTGGTCCTGTGGCTCGTCTTGTTTTTGTAACTAGCTGATGCTCAATCTCATCCTCTTCTTCAAAGTCACTGTCAGACTCAGACTTTTCAGAAATGTGATCCTCACCTTCTGAAACCTCTTCCTCTACATCATCATCCAATGGTTCTCTGTCTTCCAGAATCATATGCAAGGCCCTCTGAGCAGAGAATCTTTTGGCCATCTTGATCAGATGTGATAAGCACCCAAACTGGCGAAGCTTTATTTATTGTCTCTCGCCCCAAATTTGCAGCTTGGATAGAGTGTGAACAAAATAAAGATTGGTTCCCGCTAAACATGATGCGGGAATGTGAGAGCAGACAGGTTTCGGTGCTTTACTTTATCAACAATGTTGCAACCTTGTGCGGGAATGGCAGGGGCAGAAACACAACAGTCTCTCTCTCTCTCACACACACACACACACACACACACACACACACACACACACACACACACACACACACACACACACACACACACACACACACACACACACACACACACACACACACACACACACACACACACACACAGGACCTACAATTTCCCCGAACATTCTGTATGTAATGTAAATGTGTAGGGGGGGTACAGAGGGTGGTCAGTGGAAATGTGTTCTGATGTATGTTCTTCACAGAAAATGAGCCAAGGCCATTGAGTGTGAGTTTGAAAAAATAATTGATCATATCATTTTTCTTTAGCTAAATAATGAAAACGGGTCCCACAGACCCGAACACCATGCAAGGGTTCAGTTAGTAGAAGATGCCATCTAGTTCCTTAATATTCTAAAGAAAGCAGACATCTCTCCGCCTGCATCTCCAACTCTCGACAACTCACTCCCAAACAATCTACATTGATAAAAGCACCAAATGTAAGAGGGAAAATGCATGTGCTCAGGAGTACCAACACTGTCTCATCAATGTGCTTGTGATGTCACCAGGAAGCTGCTGATCAGCGTGCTTCAGCCCCTCCCCCCCTCCACTTTGTCCCACTAACCTTCCTGTTTTCTCTGCTCCGCCCTCCATCCACCCTCACCAGGCCATAGTGAGTATGGCAGCTTACTTCACACAGACACACATGTTGTGTTAATAGAACATTTTAAAATAGCAAAAAGATTACCATCTTTTAAAATAGTGTAGAGTCTAATCAGTAGTTGTATAGGAGTTGCATCTACTGGGTTGTATTGGGGGGAGTTTGACTTCCTGTTTGTGTGTAACAGCCTCCACCGGCGCGGTATGGAGGCCGGCACACCGTGACTCTGATTCCAGGAGACGGCATCGGACCAGAGCTCAGCAAACACGTGTGTGAACTGTTCCGGTGAGAGAGATTAGGATACACATAAAAACAGGCAAAAAACACAAAGGGAGACAAACAAATCAAGCATATGGAGCTTACCTTTCAATAGAAATTATTATATCGTGTAACAAGATTAATGGAAAAATCATCGTTATTCTTCCATTTTGGATTCTACATGAGATTTATTTGTGCTTTACTTTATGTTCAGGTTCTGCTGTGTGCCCGTGGACTTTGAGGTTGTCAATGTGGACTCAACGAAGGACTCAGAAGATGACATCAATAATGCCATCATGGCTATCAGACGCAATGGAGTGGCTCTGAAAGGTACGTGTTTTGCAGGTCCATGAAACATGTTGAAACAAAAAAAGCAACGAGTGTAACTCCAAACACGATTCTAGACATTCTGCAATATCAAGTTGTGTTATGTCTCTTCTTTAGTTGTCATTCTTCAGGTGTTACTTTGTCTGTTCATCCAGGAAACATTGAGACCAACCACAACCTGCCGCCATCCTACAAGTCCAGAAACAACCTGCTGCGGTAAGTCCTCCATATTTCATCTTTCCCCCCTTTTCCTTTGCTAGTCTAATCAGATTTACAGCTGCAAACTCATCTTTCTCTTTCAAAATAGTTTGCACTAATGCATGTATTGCTTCAATCAAATACATTGACCATCAACACTGATTAAACACCCTCGTAACATTTGGCAAATTTCAATTTAAAGGTCCCCTATTATACTGTTTTTCATCAATATATTACAGGTCTCTGATATATACAAAACATGTCTCTGAAGTGTTTGGCTCCAAACACCAAACAGATCATTGCAGCATTACCCATAATCCCCTCTGTTTCAGCCCTGTTTCAAAAGTGCTGATTCTCTGTCTGTTACTTTAGATGAAAATAAGGAGCCCCTCCCCACGCCCCTCTGAGAGAGATTTGGTTACAAAGAACACAATGGTGCTCTAGGAGGAGATTCAGGTGATAAGGGGGGGGGGGGGGTTACCTTGGTTGGTGATTGGCTAATGGTTACACAAGCCAACAAATCGTTATGACATCATAAAGTGGCCAAAATCTGATCAGCTCATTTTCAGACAGGTTTTTATATAAATGGATCAGGACAAAAAGAGAGAGAAGCTTTTTTCCTGAAACGTTCAGAATCTCTTTACACAGAGGGGACACATGTTGATGTAGAAGAGACATGAAGAAGAGGATTTAGCAAAATAGGTGACCTTTAAAATGACTTAAATCGTTGGCTCTTGTGTCTATTCCTTCTATCTGCCTCTTCATCCATTATCTACCATCTTGTCTCTGCAGCACCACTCTGGATCTGTATGCCAATGTGATGCACTGCCAGTCTCTACCAGGAGTGAGGTCACGCCAGACCAACATCGACATCATCATCATCAGGGAGAACACAGAGGGAGAGTACAGCAGCCTGGAGCACGAGGTGTGTGTGTTCATAATCGCTCTGATGCTGCAACGCACAACATCCCAACTAAATCTGTTCTACAAGCATCTCAAATGTTTCTCTCTTTGCTTTTGCAGAACGTACCGGGAGTTGTTGAGTGTCTGAAGATCATCACCAGGACCAAATCTCTACGCATCGCTGACTACGCCTTTAAAACTGCCCGCGCTCAAGGACGCAGACGAGTGACTGCTGTACACAAAGCTAACATCATGTCAGTTGAGTCTCAAACACCTGTTTTCATTCATCTTTTTCTATAAAAACACATGATACATCTTAATGTGTGTGTGTGTTTGGAGCAGGAAATTAGCTGACGGCCTCTTCCTGGAGTGCTGCAAAGAGGTCGCTAGTGGTTACCCTGAAATCACCTTCGACAGCATGATTGTGGACAACACCACCATGCAGGTAAGCACGCCATTTCTTCACACTGCCACAGTTGAAGATACAATAAGTGTCTTTTTACCGCTTTATGTTGGTTTTTAAAAGTGACATTCATGGTATGTTCTTAAACTGCAAACTTCTTTGCACATGTGTTATTATAATGATGAATCCCACTGTCCTTCTGAATTGAAAGCACATGCAAATAAATCCTAATTAGTATATGTAAATAGGTTAACCACACAAATGCACATAAAAGGCCAAGAGACTGCAGGGCTGTGTGCAAACGCAACAATTGCAAAGTGTTAGAAAAATGTCACTCGACACCGGTTTGAGAATCAATAATCAGGAACTCATTTATTGTTGCAAGAAGGAGCTTAATCACATTCAGGAATATGGTTCAACTCACACACATGAGGTATGCTGCTCAAAGGAACAGGAAATCACATCAAGCTTATATCGTTTCTAAGTTCAGTCCCACACAATCAAATCAAATCAAGTTTTATTTATATAGCACATTTATAAACGATTTTTGGTCGAGCCAAAGTGCTGTACATATAATAAAAATAGCCTACAGTAGAGACACTTTACAGCAAATACAACAGCACAGATTGTTCAGAATATCAGTATGAGAAAAACGCCACCCTCTGTCCTCAGACCCTCACATCGTACAAGGAAACACTTCCAGAGAAAACCCACAGTTTAAGGGGAACATGGGAGAAACCTCAGGGAGAGCAACAGAGGAGGGATCCCTCTCCCAGGACGGACAGACGTGCAATAGATGCTGTGTGTAAATCCAAGAGATAATACATTTTACAGCATATAGACCGAATGTTAGGAAATGCATGTGTCTGTAATAAGAAGATGAATCCACGAGGATGTCAGCTACAATCCTGTGGAAGCCATCAGGGAAGCAGCATGACGAGACCCAAGGCAGGACCGCAGAGACAGGTTCAGCCACGACCCGAAGTCCACGACTTAATCCAGAACTCAGGATAGAGGATCCAAGACACAGGACTACAGCAAGAGGATCAGCCTCGACTCCGGATCCCCGGCGTAGATATAGATACAAAACAAGAAAAAAGATGTGGCTGGGTTAATCGGAACAAGAGAATACACAGACACAGACAGAGAGGGAAAAGGTCATTGGATAAAAGTTATTCTTGATAACCCTCTAGAAAGATCTCATGGACTTCCCCACTCAATCTATCAAGACCCGAGCAGTTCTATTAGATATAGGATAAGAAACAGAGAGAGGGAGCACAACAACCTATCTCTTCGTCAGATGCACTCCCCCGCTTATCTAAGCGACTCTGGACCCCGTTACCCTTTACAAGGCCATAGACCAGCAGAGGGGAAATGGGGGGTGGGTAAGGGTAAGGGTTTTTAAGAATAAACCGCAAGGGTCTAAAGGGAAAAAAAGATTAAATATAAGGTATTATATTAAGTAATCCTATCTACTATTCCTATATTCGAATAATGTATAAACTATTTTAAAAATACTTTATGAAATCCTATGTTATGTTATAAATATTAAAATAAAGAACTAAATGAATAAATAGATAATTAAACAAAAGCCAGAGAGAAAAAGTGAGTTTTAAGTGTTGAATTAAAAACCCCCAGGGTCTGGGCCGACCTCACATGGAGGGGCAGAGTATTCCAGAGCCTATAGGGCCAGCCGCTGCGAAAGCTCGGTGCCCTCGGGTTTTAAGCCTGGTCTTAGGCACTATCAACAACAGCTGATCAGCCGACTTTAAGGCTCTGCCTGGGGTGTAGCGATGGAGGAGTTCGGCTATATAGGCAGGAGCCAGCCCATTTAGGGCTTTAAAAACAAATAAAAGGAGTTTAAAATCTATTCTGAACCGAACTGGAAGCCAGTGCAATGAAGCCAGAATTGGGGTGATATGGTCGCGCTTTTTATGGCCAGTGAGAAGACGTGCAGCTGCATTCTGAACTAGCTGGAGGCGTCTAATTGAGGCCTGGTGTCACGATCTGTCTTTATTGTATTTGTCTTGTCTTTTTCTGTCTTTTGTTTCATGTTTTATTTTGAAAGGTCTTCACCTCCTGTCTTGCCTGTTTCTGTCTGTGTTGTGTTTTGTCTTGTTTAGATTTGTCTGTGGTTCCCTGTCGTTAGTTTCCCTGGTGTGTCTTATTACCCGATTGTGTGCACCAGGGGGGTATACTACGAAGCAGGATGTTCGCTTAGCCGGCTAACTTCAGGGAAAACTCCGGCTTTCCGGTCCTACGAAGCTGGTTCTCTTGCAGGCTCGATCTCCATGGTAACTTATGCTTAGCGGCTAACCTGGTCGGGAGCAGGTTAGGTTGCAGGCTAAGAGCTCAACTCAGTGAAAGCACTGCCTGCTGACCAATCAGAGCTCAATGTGCGGAGTTTAAAGCGATCAAGTCATATTACAGGAGAAAGGAAATACAGAAAAGCTGCCGTCGCAGGAAAGACGGCCGGCAAAAATCACCGACTGTGTGAACGTGAACATTAATAGAATATCACCTCCATCTTCAGAGCAATCTGACTATTATAACATTAGCGTTAAGAAAGCTTACTTAAATATCTGCCACAACATAAGTAACCGGATCAGAGTAACATTAAGTACAGTCCGCGGCATATCACTTCATAATGTATCATATATTTCCTTATCTGAGTCAGCTGAGCCGTATCTGGCCGTGCAACACTCACAGTGTCACAGACTGGATGCAGAAGTATTATTTAAGCAACACATTAAGTTGACGAAACACTCGAGACAAATGTAATTAAAGTCAGATCGTGTCTTGGACGGGCAGTGATATCGTAAGCCTGTATCAAACACTTTTTCTTTTACCAGCTGTATTCACCTTGCAGGTTGTGGCTTTTTTTTTTTTTGGCTATGTGGCTTTTATCCTGGATAAAGTGTTTAAGTCATGGATGTTTAAAGTTTAACTTCTTCATATGTCTAATATTATAGTTGACTTTTCATTCAGGAAGTATGACGCTGCGCTGTCAGTACGCTCCATGTTTGTGATTGGTCGAATGCTCCAGATACCACCCCTTTCATGTGAACGCGCACCTAACTAGATAGGACACGGCTGGCTTGAGCGATCCACTTGATAACCAGCGTCGTAGGACCGCTTAGCGAGAGCGCGTATGTTTTGGATTAGGCCAACCGGCTAACTCAAACATATCCAGGTTAGGTTGAACCAGCTTCGTAGTACAGGCCCCTGGTGTCCCTGTGTTTTCTCCTACCTCCTCACCTGTGTCTTGTTTGTATGATTAGTCTTGTGTGTATTTAAGTTCTGGTTTTTCTGTCTGTCTTTGTCGGTTCGTCTTGTCATATGGCTTGTGCCTCGGTGAGTGTTCTGTTTAGTCTTTATTTAATAGTATAGCCTTGAAATAAAGGAGTTTTTTGTCACTTTAATCTGCATTTGGGTCCTGCTTCCTACACACACTGTAACACCTGGTCCATACCCACGTACAGAGCATTGCAGTAATCCAGTCTCGAGGTAACAAAGGCGTTAATAACCCTTTATAGGTCTTTAAAAGATAAAAACGACTTGGTCTTAGCCAATAGTCGTATTTTGAAAAAGCAGGTCTTGACTACAGTGCTAACCTGCTTATCAAATTTAAAGGCGCTGTTGAAGGTCACTCCAAGGTTCATAACAATCGTACTTCGGTTGTGTGTCGGCAGGTTCCCGTACATACAGGTATTCCCATTTACGATGATGTTGCTCTTTGATCCTCTAAGGGTGGGAGACAGAGTATGTGCTCTTTGCCCCCCCCCCCCCCCTCCCCAAAGGGTGGGAGACAGAGTATGTGCTCTTTGCCCCCCCCCCCTCCCCAAAGGGTGGGAGACAGAGTAGGTGCTGACGGTTTATTTGGAGCTTCGGCCGGAGAATTCACAAAACATGTCACGGGCCACACATGTGGTCTGACCACACGGTTGAGATGCCACAATCAATTCTGAAGACCCCTCCTGTAGCTCCAGGTTTTAACTAGTTCAGAGTGTAATAATCAACATGCTTCAATAAACAGCTGAGGACACTGAATCACATGTGTTGTCGCTTATGGCTCGAGGTCATCTACAGCCCGAGAAGGATGTGTTCCAGGTGTCCCACAACAATAACTATCTCTGACCGACAGTTGCCCGGTCATAAACTGGTAACAACTTGCTAGGGCAGCCCCTCCTTAAGGGAGATAGCATGATGTCAAGGTTGGTCATCTGCGTCAGAGGGCGAAGGAGGACATGCAGGGCAAATTATTCTCTGACAGATCCCAAAAAAGTCCTGGAAAGACCAGGTCAACTTAACTATGTGCATTAAAAATGAAAAAGAGGAATAGTTTTGGCGAAAACTAAAAGGTACCATGGGGTCAGATTATAATTTTCCAAAGGGGGGTTCGTTTAGCATGAAACACTTGAAATAACTAAAGGACAAGTTAACAAAGAAAGTAGAAAGAAAGGGAGGTGAAAGTTAGCAATGATTGAGAGTCAGAGCTAAACATTTCAGATGTGTGTATCTCACACTGCACTGTCACTTTTATTCCTGTACCTTTGCTTTTAAATGTCATTTCATAATATGTTTCTTAATGCTATTAACGTCTTTCATTTTTGTAAAGCACTTTGAATTGCCTCGTGTTGAAATGTGCTATATAAATAAACTTGCGTTGCCTTGGGATCACGGCTTATATACTGCCTGTAAATCCTGCACCAACCTCCATCCGGCTGATGGTGGAGCCTTTCTGACGGCGATCAAAGGAGTGCTGCATGTTGGACATTCTCTTATCATGCCTGATTTGAATAATGCTTCAACTATGGGCTCTATTCCGGTTATAGCTTCAGGTTTAGGTGGATACTGTCTGGAAAGGTCTGAAACTCCTTTTGGTGTTATCTTTACAGGCTCAACTCCCTTTATTTTTGCATACATTGCAGGACCTTGACACCACAGCTCCTCAGACAGCTGTCCTAACAGAGTGTGTGGAAATCATTGTTTGTCATGTGAGGACAAATGCACTGCCTTTTGTCCAATCGTGTGCCAATCAAGCGTTATCTTGTAAGCATTTAAATCAGCTGAACGGTAAACTCCGGGCTCCCAATTACAAAGTAAGGTTGAGAGATCTCAATCAAACACGCTCAAAGAAAGGTTTGAAGAGAACGGAGAACCGGCTAATCACAATCTTTGTCTCTTTGATACTGGTTGGTGAATGTCCTGACACTATGTTGTATTTGTGTGTGTCAGCTGGTCTCCAGGCCCCAGCAGTTCGATGTGATGGTGATGCCCAACCTGTACGGGAACGTGGTGAGCAACGTGTGTGCCGGGCTGGTGGGGGGGCCGGGCCTGGTGCCCGGGGCAAACTACGGGACGGACTACGCCGTGTTTGAGACGGTGAGAGGATTCACATCCTAGTTTGACAGTTTGATCGAATTTGAAGAGCAATAGTTGACACTGCAAATAGAAGCTCCTCAGCTCCGATTGGTTATTTACATACTAACAAGCGTCATAGGCCCTGCCACCAGGAGCAGTACAGGGTTAAGTATCTTGCCCAAGGACACTGCCACATGTTGACTGCAGAGACTGGGGATCGAACCATTGCCCTTCTGATTGGTGGATGACCTCTGTACTGCCTTTAGCTTAGCGTTGGTGACGTGGAGCCATGCGACTGTGATCTAGTTCACATGAACTCATACGTTAGCATAAACATGTGTTTGACAGAGATATGATTTTGTGCAATATTAAGATAAGATAAGATAAAATTCATCCCAATTTGGAAAAACAACATGTTTGTTGCAGCAGCATAAAACAAAACAAGGCATTGCACATAATAACAAATTAAAATAGAAATAGAAATAAACCATCATTAGAGAGTAAGAAAAATATACAGATGACCAAGAAGATGAAAAATGTGTTACAATGATAAAACAATGTTGAAGTCCAGTGGAAAAATGCCCTTGCTTTTGGTCGAGGGATCCCCTGCAAAGCTAACCTCTGTACCCAACATGCACCTCTCTACCCAACATGCACCTCTCTACCCAACATGCACCTCTTTACCCAACATGCTCCTCTGTTCAGGGCACCAGGAACACAGGGAAGAGCATCGCTAACAGAAACACGGCAAACCCCACGGCCATGCTGCTGGCCTCCTGCCTGCTGCTGGACCACCTGAAGCTGCACGCCTACGCCAGCATGCTGCGCAGGGCCATCCTCTGCACCGTCACCGAGACCCGGGTACGATCACAGCAACACAACAAACAACACGCTCCATCCTCTCACTGAGGGCAGTTACCAAACCGAACATTCATACTCATTGTTTTTAAATTGTTGCATGGACTGGCACCACACTACCTGTCTGAGTCGTTGCACCGGCCTGCTCCAGCCAGTGTTTCTCAAACTTTTTCATACCAAGGACCACTTAACCAATAAAAAATCACTCGCGGACCACCTAACTCCACAAATAACCCAAAACACAGTTTTTCTAGAACAGATTACAAATCGCCTGAAAATGGTACAAACAGGTGGCAACATGTGTGACGAAGGTGTTGCCCTGGGCTATATTATGAAATAGAAAGTGAAACTTAAGCTCGCTCCATTGCGTAGATATTCCCGCGAGAGTGCGGAAAACTTACATTTATTTATTTAAAATGTGAAATGTTACCAATATACTCACGGACCACTAGGGGGCGCTCACGGACCACCAGTGGTCCGCGGACCACACTTTGAGAAGCACTGAAAGCGATGCACTAAACTCAGCAGAACCTGTTGGTGGTTCCTCTGTGCACGAAAGAAACCAGAGGTGACAGGGCTTTGCTGTTGCAGCTCCCAGATGTGGAACAGCCTCCCAGTAGGCCTACATATTACATTACATGTCATTTAGCTGACGCTTTTATCCAAAGCGACTTACAATAAGTACATTCGACCAAAAATATACAACCTTGAAGAAAACAGAATCATATAAGTACATCAGGTTTCATAGAGCAAAAACATTTCAAGTGCTACTCAACTGGCTTTAGGTAAGCCAGTCCTTTATTAGTATATAAGTGCTTTGTTAATAGTTCTATCGCTCGAAGTGGAGTCGAAAGAGATGAGTTTTCAGTCTGCGCCGGAAGATGTGTGCTTTCTGCCGTCCTGATGTCAATGGGGAGCTCATTCCACCATTTAGGAGCCAGGACAGCAAACCCACGTGTTTTTGCTGATGGGAACTTGGGTCCCCCTCGCAGTGCGGGTGCAGCGAGCTGTTTGGCTGATGCAGAGTGGAGTGCACGTGCTGGGGTGTACAGTTTAACCATGTCCTGGATGTAGGAAGGGCCAGATCCATTTGCAGCATGGTACGCTAGTACCATTGTCTTGAAGTGGATTCTAGCAGTTACCGGAAGCCAGTGAAGGGAGCGGAGGAGCGGAGTGGTGTGGGAACATTTAGGAAGGTTGAAGACCAGGCGAGCCGCTGCATTCTGGATGAGCTGCAGAGGTCGGATGGCACATGCAGGTAGACCAGCCAGGAGGGAGTTACAGTAGTCTAGGCCTGAGATGACGAGAGCCTGGGCCAGAACCTGCGTCGCTTTCTGGGTCAGGAGGGGACGTATCTTCCTGATGTTGTACAGCGTGTATCTGCAGCAGCGATGTTTGCAGTGAAGGACAGGTTGTTATCTAGGGTCACACCCAGATTCCTTGCAGTCTGAGTCGGGGAAACAACAGAGGTGCCGATGTTGATAGTCAGGTCAAGAGTTGTAAAATCTTTTCCCGGAAGGAAAAGCAGTTCAGTCTTGTCAAGGTTGAGCTTGAGGTGATGATCAGACATCCACTGAGAGATGTCCGCTTGACAAGCAGATCCACTGCTCAGTCTATTGAACTTTTTTAATCTTAGCTAAAAACTCACCTCTTTGCACTGGCCTTTAATACTAGTTGAACATAACATTTTTACATTTGTATGTGTTTTTTTGTTTCTAGTTATTGTGCTTTTTATCATGTTTTTAATTATTGTTTTACTATTTTACCCCCATTGTGTTATTTTTATATTGTATTTATTCCCTGTACAGAACTTTGGTCAACTGAGGTTGTTTTAAATGTGCTATATAAATAAGTAAAGATTGAGATTGAACAATGCATAGAGATTATTCTGCTCACGCTTGTGTTGTCCTGCAGCTGCACACGGCGGACCTGGGGGGCCACGGCTCCACCTCCGAGGTGGTGCGCTCCATCATGAGCGCTGTTCAGAGCACCGGGCCCCGGACCCTCAGCATCTAGAACAAACCCGCAGAGAAGTGAATGTAAGACTCTCCTCAGAAGGTCCTCTATGCAATTTCATAATATTACATTACATGTTAGACGCTTTTATCCAAAGCATACTCAATACTGTGGGCAACCCCCACAGGAGCAATTTGGGGTGAAGTGTCTTGCCCAGGGACACAACGACATGCTGACTGCAGTGGGGTTTGAACCTGTGACCCCTTGATCCGAACACCAGCGCTCTATCCACTGCGCCACACGCCTCCATTATTATTATATTATAGTTGTTTTGATAGTTATACTGAAATGAAACTGTCACAAAGATCTATGCAATAGTTTATCTTTCTGTAGAAATGTTTCCTGTTTACTTGAAACAACCACCATACCATAATACTGCATGAAACACGAAACAACTCCTTTTACAATCTTGCCCATATTTAGTAGTTTGGTTACTTTATTTATTATTAAAAACAGGGTAATCTTCACAACTTCTTTTAACCCAAACTCAGCTTCTGCTGTCCTACTACTGAATGTGCTGGGTTTTAATAAATGGGAAATAAATATTATGCCTGTTTCTTTGTAGTTCATGATTTAGTTTTTAGAATGATCTGTGCTGAATCCAACATGTGAGTGCAGTGCTGGTGCAGACCACAGGGGGGCGCCCTCGTCTCTCGTATCTCCACATTCAGTTTGTTGTCAAAGTCAACTTTATTGTCAATCTCAAAATATGTTTGTACACACAGAAAGATCGAAATACTGTTTCCCACAGTCCCGAGGTATAAAAACACACATTAAAATACAAGAACACTCAATAATAAAATAATAAAAACACAAAATAACCGTTTACTTCAAGTAGGCTAAGCAGGATATATATATATATATAAAAAAGATGATGTACATAGTGCAAATGGGAGTGCAAAAATGTGTGTGTGGGGGGGTGTTAAAGTCCCGGTCCAGTGGGGGTAGGGTGGAGAGGTGAGATAGAGGGGAGAGAGGTGGGAGGGGGGAGAGAGTTCAGTTTGTTATGACTGAGTTCCAGGAGTATTCGGACTATGAGGGTTTTTAGCAGTAATAATAATGGCTTTATTTTTGTTGTACCTTTCATATAAAGTTGCCGCTCAAAGAGCTTTAGGATTGAGAATCAAAATAAACAATAAGCATTAACTCAATTATAATGGACTTAAAGGTGGGGTAGGTAATTCACTTCAGAAACACTTTTTGTTATATTCCATGGAATGTTCTTAACATCCCGATAGCAATGAATACATTAAATGCTTTGACAATAAATACATACAAACATGTCATCAGTGGAAGCCGTGGCGCTGTAAAAAGCACGACCAATCATCTGAGCCGGTCCGGCTAAAATAACTGGATGGCCTACCTGCCTGTCAGCCTTCCATCTGTGCACAAACTTATCTCGTGCCCTCATTGGTCATGTGCGCGTTCGTATGTGTTGGAGGAGGGACTCTGTAAGGAAGTCTGAAAGAAGAGGCAGATTTTTTCCGGTTGTGTATTTTCAAATTCTAGCCACTCGAGCTGGTTTCTTCTTCTTCATTTACCTACCTACCTTTAAGAACAATTCTGATGTGTTTTACTTGAGTATTTCCATGTTATGCTGCTTTAATCTTGTACTCCACTGCATTAGCATTATACTTGTTTACGTTAATATAAAAGTATAATAATTTAAGAGCTGAAAAAGTAAGATTGCGCTTCATTTAAAGCTAAATATAAAAAAGATCAATCTTAAAATAATAAAAAATGCTCTCAGGGAAGGAATGCCTGAGCTTTTTTGCAGTAATCACTTATATTCCACAAACAAAAATGTAACCATTAATTGTACCATTGAATCCTTTTCATTATACTATCTCACAGAAAATAAATCTGTGCTGGAGTTTGTATCAGCTTCAACTAATGCAGTGGTTCTCAAACTTTTTCTGTCAGGCCCCCCCTTTGGAGAAAAAAAAAAGTCGGGCCCCCCCAACGCAAATAGTCAGGCTCAGTGGCGGCGCCAGATATTTATTTTGGGGTGCTGTGGGGTAGCTTGACGTTTCATAGAGGGTGCTCAAACATTTAGGGTTTCCCATTAATGTACCGGGTGCTACAGTGGAATGTTCTACTGCAACAATCCCAACGCAAATACACAGTGTGACTGTTACAATGAAGGCTCGATAATCAGCTCACGGCATATAGGTGTAAGCAGTGGCGGCGCCAGAGATTTTCTCTAGGGGGTGCTGTGGGGTAGCTTGACGTTTCATAGAGGGTGCTCAAACATTAAGGGTTTCCCATTAATGCACCAGCGCTACAGTTGAATTTTCTACTGCAACACTCCCCACACACACACACAGTGCACCCGCGACTGTAACAATGAAGGCTCGATAATCAGCTCACGGCATATAGGTGTAAGCAGGGCTAAAGTGCTATTTTTACAAGTGGGGAGTGGACCTCACGTCCTCTAGGAGGGTCCTCACCTCCTCCCGTGGGGTCCGGGGGCATGTTTCCCCGGGAAGATTTTTTTTAAATATTTAAGTTAAAAGCATCAATCTGGTGCACTTTGAGAGCAACATTAAGAGATATGGATACATCTCTCATCACCCATATGAAACAGAACTGTAAACATATTTTCTTCATAGACATTTTACAAATCACTCCCCTTTTAAAACAAACCGTTTGAGACCCACTGAGATAACTAGACTAAAGTTAACTATCTAAACACTGAGAGTCCTTTACTTCACCTGAGCTGAGGTTACCTGAGACTCTCCGTCTGACAGGAGAGGGTTCTCCCTCCACCTTGTTGTTGAAAAAGCTCCTTATACCCGTTAGCTTGGCTAGCTAACACCAGATGCTAACCACAACGATCTCCGGTAGATACCCACCGGTGCGCGAGCTTCTCTCTCTCGCTCGCTCGCGCACACACACAAAATGGCTCGGGCAACCGCCACACACACAGAGCAGAGCTTGAATGAAACACAGAGACCCAGAAGTAAGCTACTTGTACTCAACGAGGCCTATATGTGCAGAATCCCTCTCGCTTTCAGGTGGTTTTGATTGAGTGTCCACACGTGGACGGTTAAGGACTAAAAACCGATAATTTTTTTCACTTTGCTGTTAGCAAATCATTTGGCGCTCTAGCTAACAGTAACGGCCCGTACACACAGCAGCTTTTGGCGATTTGTCCACCGCTTCCAGCGCGTCTCCGCCCATTGACTTTGAATGGGGATGACGTAACTTTCCCTCGCTTGTCGCCGAACGTGCATTGTGGGGGGGCGAGGCGAAGATTTCCTTCCAGGATTTTCAGGATGTTCAGATTCCGAAAGTTTGAACAATGTTCAACTTTTGAGGCTGAGCTGGAAGCGACAGCCAATCAGATCCGTTTAATTGCAAATCTGACAGTTCAAGCGCTAGCCAATCAAAACGCGTGCAAGCTGGGAGAACCAGACCCGCAGTTCATTTCTATATTCCACAAAAAATGGAGGAGAAGTTAGTTATTGCGGTAGCAAATCACCACCCGTTTCTTTATGACCATCCCTATTTACTTACCGGATACAAACCGGAGGAACCAGGCATGGAGGGAGGTGGCAGAGGCAGGTGGGTGAAACTGGTAGGTTTTTCGCTTGTTTGGGGAGTTTATATCCAGTTTACTTACTTCGTTGCTAGTTTACTTCGTTGCTAGCAAGCATAGACAGTATCATTAGCCAGCATGGAATGTAGCATAAAATAGCACCATAAACATTAAACTCATAAATGTTCAAAATGTTAAAAAAATAAATGTTCATCATAGCCCTTCCTATTTGACAAGTGTAGAAGAACCGGGTTTTTTTGCTTTGTATGTCGGGGGCGGGATATTCATGTGATATTCATGTGATTGGTTGTTGGTCGCGAAATCCCCAAGCTGTCAGACACGCCCAGCTCCAGGATTTTCAAGATTTTGTCAAAGCTGCTGTGTGGACACACCGTTCGTCACTCAAGTGTCACAAAGTAATTTAGCCTATGGGTAGGTCAAAAATCGAATGGGTGCTGGCCATTGGCCTAATCATATCACCTGTGTTGGCTTTATGTTTTTGGTCAAACATTTGTTTGTTTCACATGCATTGATGTAATCAATAATTTTTCTAATTTAATTTAATAAAAATAATAATAATAATTTTCGAAAAAAACAAAACAACACATATTTCTTGGGGGTGCTTAGGGGGTGCTTTGGCAATCCTGGGGGGTGCTTCAGCACCCCCTAGCTCCCCCCTGGCGCCGCCCCTGGGGTGTAAGCAGGGGTCAAGTGCTATTTTTATAGGTGGTGTGTGGACCTTACATAGGGGGGGCCGGGGGCAAGCTCCCCCGGGAAGATTTATAAATATTGAAGTTAAAAGCATCAATCTGAAGCACTTTGAGAGCAACATGAAGAGATCTATGGATACCTCTCTCAACACCCAGATGAAACAGAACTGTAAACAGATTTTATTTTTCTTTATGGATATTTTACAAATGCTTTTAAACTGTATTCTTGTTTTACTGTCATATAGTGTTTCATACCTGTTTTTCATTTATTCTCTTATTTTTTTACAACTATAATGATCATATAAACGTGTGCCTCGGAAATAATTGTTTTCATTAACGGTGACCAAAACGTTTGAGACCCACTGAGATAACACTGATAGAGTCCTTTAGCTCACTGAGTCTCTCAGTCTGACAGGAGAGGACTCTCCTCCC